GCTCACTGGGATCCACAGTACTCCAATGATAGAGTTTTCAACTCAATACTTCTCATATTCCCTAAACATTTAGTTTTCATTGTAATTTAAGCTTTAAAACTGCTAAATTGTTTCTCTATCCCATGGGAGAATTTGTAGAATTGCATGAAATTAGCTTTAAACCTGTAAAATGTTCTGATTTTGAGGGGGTCCCTGATGAATTTGCATTCACAAAGGGGGTCCCCGGCCCCACAAAGTTTGGGAATCCCTGCTCTAGTCTACTCAATAGATTTCTTCTGCATCGTTTAGTCGAAACAGGACTGAAATACAATATCTTAACGACCACATGAAAACATTGGTATGGTTGACTGAATAAGTCCTGTATGAAAAAATACACTCACCAGGTAAAGGGCTTTGGGAGGCCATATCTTAATGTCCCCAAACTGCTATTCAACCTCTGTGCTAAAACTGAACTTGAACTTCAGTTCTTCTTCCCTTGATCTCAGTTGTTTTTGTACCTTGACCTCTGTTTGATACATCAATCTCTCATTTCATGATAGCCAGCTATAAATGCTAACTGTTACACAAATCAAAGTTACCAGGACCATAGGGATAATATTTATTTCTAGCTACCTACAGCCTTTTCTCTGAAAAAGGAAGATATTCATAATTCAAACCACTGTTACTACTACTGTTACTTTTTCAAAGGAGACGAGGCCTTTTAGACTTCCCTCAAGTGTTCATTTACAGTATTTTCTCTAAGTCTTCATGCCACAATGACTACCACCCTGTAGCACTCACATATGTAATCATGAAGTGCTTTGAATGGCTGGTTATTGCATACATCAACTCCATCTTCCCAGACACACTCCAATTTGCATACCGCCCCAACAGATCCATAGACAACGCAATCTCAATTGCACTCCACAGTGCCCTCACCCACATAGATAAGAGGAACACCTATGTGAGAATGCTGTTCATTGACTATAGCTCAGCGTTCAACATCCTTGTCCCCTCCAAGCTCGTCACCAAGCTTAGGACCCTGGGACTGAACACCTCCCTCTGCAACTGGATTCTGGACTTCCTGACGGGCCGACCGAAGGTAGTGAAGGTAAGCAACATCACCTACGCCACGCTGAACCTCAACACGGGGACCTCACAGGGGTGTGTGCTTAGTCCCCACCTGTACTCCCTGTTCACCCACGACTGCGGGCCACGCATGACTCCAACACCATCATCAAGTTTGCTGAAGACATGACGGGGGTAGGCCTGAGCACCAGCGAAGATGAGACAGCCTACAGGGAGGAGGTCAGTGACCTGGCAGTGTGGTGCCAGGACAACAACCTCTCCCCCAACATCAGTAAGGCCAAGGAGCTGATCGTGGACTACAGGAAATGGGGGGGGGCGAGCACGCCCCCATCCTCAAAATCAGAACATTTTGCAGTGGAGCAGGTCGAGAGCTTCAAGTTCCTCGGGGTCCAAATCACTTAGCACTTAAAATGGTCCACACACACACGCACAGTCGTGAAGATGAATCGACAGTGCCTCATCCCCCTCAGGAGGTTGAAAAAGTTTGGCATGGACCCTAAAATCCTCCAAAAGTTCTACAGCTGCTCCATTGAGAGCATCTTGACTGGCTGTATCACTGCTTGGTATGGCAACAGCACTGCCCTCGATCGCATGGTGCTTCAGAGGGCGGTGCGGACAGCCCAGTACATCACTGGGGCTGAGCTCCCTGCCATCCAGGACCTCTACACGGAGTGTACAAAACATTAGGAACACTTGCTCTTTCCATGACATACACTGGCCAGGTGAATCCAGGTGACATCTATAATCCGTTATTGATATCATTTGTTAAATCAGCTTCAATCAGTGTAGATGAAGGGGAAGAGAAAGGTTAAATAATAATTTTTAAGCCTTGAGACATGGATTGTGTATGTGTGCCATTCAAAAGGTAAATGGAAAAGACAAAAGATTTAAGTGTCTTTGAATGGGGTATGGTAGTAGGTGCCAGGCGCACCAGTTTGTGTCAAGAACTGCAATGCTGCTGGGTTTTTCACTCTCAACAGTTTCCCGTGTGTATCAAGAATGGTCCACCACCCAAAGGACATCCAGCCAACTTGACACAACTGTGGGAAGCATTGGAGTCAACTTCGGCCATCATCCCTGTGGAATGCTTTAAACACCTAGTAGAGTCCATGCTCCAACGAATTGAGGCTGTTCTGAGGGCAAAAGGGGGTGCAACTCAATATTAGGAAGGTGTGCCTAATGTTTTGTAAACTGTGTATATCAGGCGGTGTGAAAGGAAGGCCCAGAAAGTCGATAAAGACTCTAGCCGCCCAAGCCATTGACACCAACAGGTTCCTGAACAGCTTCTATCCCCAAGCCATAAGACTGCTAAATAGCTAACAAAACGGCTACACAGACACAGATCTGAATTGACCATTGTATTTATTAAACCTTTTGCACTGTCTCTATGCACACTCACACACACTGACACTCCAACACACATAACATGCGCACACATTTATACTGACTCTACACACACTTGCATACAATCTTCATTTACACTGCTCCTACTCTGTTTATCATACATACTGATGCCTAGTCACCATATCCCTATACATACAGTATCTACCTCTATCACTACAGTATCCCTACACATTGTAAATATGGTATTGGAACTGACCCTGTAGATAGTTTCTTACTTTCTCGTGTTCTTATTTCTATTTCTCGTGTGTTTTTGTTCCACCCTATGTTATTTTTAGTACTACATTGATATTGATTACTGCATTGTTGGGTTTAGAGCTTGCAAGAAAGGCGTTTCACTGTACTTGTATACGTGACAAAACTTGAAACTTGGCCTTATTGGAACCTAAACAGAACTATATTGCCTGGTAGCATCATAAATCTCTGAACCAGAAGACTGTAGCTTCTCTGTATAGGGAATTGACCAGCTCCTAAAAGTGGTACTTTTAGCTTTTTATGCAGCCAACAAAAAAATGAACAAATGCAATATCAATCAATCCCATTGACGATCCTCTCGCTCTGTAGTCACTCAACACACACAAAAGGACCAAATGAAAATACTTTTCAATTTTGTCTGTTGTCTTTTATTTTGCGGTTGTTTGAACACCACAAAGACAAAAAATTGCATCAGAATCTATAAAGAATAATACCAATATACAAATGAACACAAAAATATGAAACAAAATTATATAAGGAATATGGAACAAAGACGGTACAAAACTAAGCATTCTGAGCTTTATCATTATTATACCCATCAATAAACATAAACTTTATATACACTATCCTGTCTTTTCAGGAATAATATATTCATTTTAATCAAAAGACACAGCATAGGGCGCATCATTCAACATTCAAACCTATGAAATATATTTATTAGACTCTCCCGTTACTGTAGAGCAGGTTTTTTTTTACACGAAGTGGGCCCTGGGCATGTGGTAGGTGGGTCGCGAGTTGTGAGAATACATCTATAATAACACACTATTTCTTCTTAATTTGGGTCGTTGGAAGAAGATTTGAGTCACTGGAGGACGGTACATTTCTAATTTGGGTTTCGAGATGAAAAAGTTTAAGAACCCCTGCTGTAGAAAATACACTTCACTCAGGTATTAAAATATGGGTAGTGTTCCTATTTACTTCTTTAATAAAACTACAGCTTTGGAATTGACAGTGCAATGAGATGGGGTTTCATGAGTAAAATGTTTCAAAATTGTCTGTTTATGTGTGTTGTCTTCTGCAAAAATACCTCTCAAAAGGGAAAAGCAACGAGGAGGGTAGTGACACTGAGCAGCAACATAGCAACCCTAACAAGGCAAGAAAACAGCCATGATGAAGAAAGCATGTATATTCAGGCATAACTGAGGTATATTAATGCTGAAGATAGCCAAGCCTATGTATTCAAAGGAAATGTATTTCTGCTCAACAGGCTCCTCCCAGAGGCTGGGTTGGAAATCGCTCTGCCTCCTGCCACCAGGGGGAAGAATTGCTTGGTCCCGATACCCTTGACAACTTCACAACATAGTTTCTAAACCCAGAGGTGCAACATTGCAAGACTTCCAGGAACGCCTGCGAAACAGACCAGGCTGAGGTTTGAGACGTCAATGAGAACAGTGAAATTCTTCCTTAGTAGTTTATTTTCTCAATCTAAAGACACATGTCTTAAGTAGTTGAACATGTTATTACTCCAACCTCGTGAAAGTAACAAACTGACACGTTTTCATTTTCGTGCCTTTGATTTGACGGCATGCACATGCGCAGTTCGGCGCGATATGACCGCTAGACCAACGTGACGGTAAAAACATGCCTGATCTGTGCCGCACATTATGCCCCAATTACGGGATTCTAATCCTGTCTGCTGCGGCCGGGTCCAGTTTTGCTGAGAAGCCCGGTCCTCTTTACACACCAAACCTCTGTCAACAGCTGTTCCCTCAATATGACAACAACAATAACATTCCGGGAGACACCCCGAATGACCCCCAAACACCCCCCAAAATTATATTATCCTCACTGTACCTTCCCTGTTCATGCCAACACACTCATATGCAAACACACATAATATAATAATAACCTCCCTTCATAATAGATTAGTTTAAAATGAGAAATATACCATCAGGTCAATAAACATCAAAATATACAACTCAGTGATTTAGGGGTCCCTTAGAGTGTCTTATCCAAGTCACTCTGAAATCTAAATCTTTAGTTAGAGAGGGTCCTGCTGACCAAGTGGGATCTCCCTCTATTTGGCAACATTTCAGCAAGAGGCAGAGCTGGCAGGAGGGTGAGAAGGGATAAGAAATCATGTCCAATGAAAACAAAATGGAGGACCTGTATGATTGACAATATTTCAATGGCACTCATGTCAATGGCACGCACGTTGGTGAGTGTTTCTCTGTGTGGTAGGCCTTTGTAGTGTTAACACACAGCCTGAAGAGACCTGGGAATGGTACATGCACGTGTGTGTGTATCTGTATTGATCCATATTGGCAGTGGTATGTTCATGTATGCAATGAAGTGGATCAGCCAAAGGACTCAAGCCTGTCGATTTGGTACGGCACTATAGTAGAGTCCATAAAGCCCCTCCCCTCTCCACCCCTTCAGTAGTACCACCGGTCGGTGTGTAGAGCGGCTCAGAACTCATCGTCGGAGCTGAGCAGCAGAGTCTTCTCGTTGTCGCGGGTGCTGAGGTTGCTGTGGCTGCGGGACACCGGCGCCCCCCCGTGCTGCTCTAGGGTGGACTGCTGTGTGTACTGCTGGTAGGCCGGGGAGAAGTTGTGGATGGCGTCCTGCACCATGTCACCGGGGTTCATGGTCTCCTTCAGACTGCTAGAGATGCTCTTCATTGGGGCGCAGCGACCTGCCGAGAGAGGATGGAAATAGATGGAAGAGGGAGGATGAGGGATAATGGAAGGAAGAGTGGAACCATACAATGAGCAACCTGAATGCCATGAGTAAACAAAATTGAGGATCACAAAGCTACTGAACCAAAAAGACAGCAACAGGCAGTGGAGCTCCTAATGCATTGCAGGGGGAGAACTCATACACACCACAAAATAATACATTGATAAAAGCAGCACATACTGTACAATAATGGCAATACACATATGACAGCACTGAGGATGCTCAAAATAAATTGTTTGTACAAAATTAAACTCTATATCTCAGAAACAGTTAAAAATAATAGAACAAAATATGAGCACATCACAGAAATGGAGTCAACCTGAAAGTAGTAGACCTACCGTACTGTCCATAAATAGGAAATGACCCTTATAGTGCAGCACAAAGAGAGAGGGATAAAGATACAGAGGGACATCAGAAAATATACAAGGATGAATATTGAACAATCAAAAAGGAGAAGGGGAGAGAACAAAACAGGAGAATAAGGAAGAGATGGAAGATAAAAGGGATTCAACTAAATAAAAATAGAGTAAAAAACCAGAACAATGTAGAGAGAGAGAGCAGGTCAGTGGAACAAAGTCACTGAAATGGACTTGAAGAGAAACCATGGACAACCAGAGTGTCCTGAATCCTCACTGAACACAGTTCCAGAAACATAAGCAACTGCATGTGTCGTTTAGTAAGGAATACACACTAATTTGCTAGTGATGACTTGATTTATTTTTACTTAAAACATTCCATTTATCTCTAATCTGCATGGATAGTCCCTCTATCTCTGCATTCTTACCATAGGAATCCAGCCTCTTGTCCATGTAGACCTTGTAGGTAAAGGCGTGGCGCAGGGCCACAGCGGCAAAGAACATCTCAATGCAGATTATAAAGTTCTGGTAGCTGGCGGCGACCGTGCCCTCCCCCACTGACACTTCGGGAGAGTTGATTTTAGGGATGGCTCCACACTTCTCCAGGATGGCCAGCAGCATACCTTATCCCCCGGAGAGAGAGAGAGAAAGAGAAAGACAGGAAGGAGGTCAGAGTACTGTCAAATCACATTGTGTGTATTATCTGGGAGAGAGGGTCAGCACACTTGGATGCCGCATTATCTATGATACATTGTGTGTGTGTCGATCGAGAGAGGTCTCCTTACCCTGCCAGAAGGAGAGGAAGATGACAGACTTGACCATGAAGAACTTGAGCATGGGGTTGTAGGGGACCAGCAGGTCGCGGGTGGCGAAGTAGAAGAGGAAGAGGGCGTAGAGAGACAGGCTGACAGAGAAGTTATAGATGATGGTCACATACAGGTACCCACTGGCCACACTGGGGGGGAAGAGGGGAAGAAAGAGAGAGAGAGGCACAACCAGCTATCAGAACAGTGTCAACACATAGGGATGTCTTAGCACAGTCTTGTCTTAGAGATTAAGTAATATAATTCCTACTCTGAGATGCTTTATAACTACAACCCCGACATTTAGGTGAAAACAGATTTACAGCCAGACTAGTGTAAATGTAAAAAAACATCTGTGAGAACAAATAAATAACATTTCAACTGTCCATACAGAACAGTAGTAGATATTATAGACAAACATTAATCCTCTGTGGCTTTTGAACCAATTAACTTTGAGGTCAACAGAGGTTAAGCATATACTCTGATATAATATAGAGTAGAATGAGTGACAGTGTCCCATAGCCCTACGTACTTGAAGTCTCCATCTCTGTACTTCCCAAAGGCCTGCAGGATGACAGTGATCATGGCCATCAGAGGCTTCACCACACAGAACTGTAGAGTGGCCTGAGAGCGAGAGATTGTAATGCTGTAACAACTCTGTGCTCATATGTAAGGGTTGCTCACAAATAACGTGTGAGAAGAAAGCTTTCACAATACCTGTTTGCAGAATCGGAGGAACCCAATGGAGTAAGTCCTGCCCCAGAGACAACAGGTGCCATACACACAGCTGGACCTGTAGACAGCCAAGACACAAGCATTTGGTAGTCTGTCTCCTCAAGATCCAAATGGTATGAAAAGAGGTTCAAACCATACAATAAAGTATTGATACACATTACTATTCTGCAGTTGTGGGATGTTTGAATGAAATTCTTGGATTATACATTAATTGTCTTTTATTTATTATTATAAGAGGACAAAGAGTGATAATAGAGAGACTCACTCAATGGGCTTTCCTCTGATCTCAGCCATGATGGCACTCTCCCCTCCAAGGTACTCATAACACAGGCTGAGGAAGTTGTAGATCACAAATGCTGCAGAGGAAACACACACAAACACATGTAAGCAGTGTCCGAGAGTTGAGAGAATATGGGGGTAGTTGCCACTATGCAAGGAGATGATTGTGGACTACAGGAAAAAAAAGAGGACTGAGCACGCCCCCATTCTCACGACAGGGCTGTAGTGGAACAGGTTGAGAGCTTCAAGTTCCTTGGTGTCCCAATCACCAACAAAACTATCATGGCCAAACACACCAAGACAGTCGTGAAGAGGGCACGACAAAGCCATTCCCCTCAGGAGACTGAAAAGATTTGGCATGGGTCCTCAGATCCTCAAAAAATTCTACAGCTGCACATCGAGAGCATCCTGACTGGTTGCGTCACCGCCCTGTATGGCAACTGCTTGGCCTCACGACCGCAGGCACTACAGAGGGTAGTGCGTACGGCCCAGTACCATCAATGGGGACAAGCTTCCTGCCACCCAGGACCTCTATACCAGGCGGTGTCAGAGGAAGGCCCTCAAAATTGTCAGACTCCAGCCACCCTAGTCATAGACTGTTTTCTCTGCTACCGCCACGGCAAGCGGTACCGGAGTGCCAAGTCTAGGTCCAAAAGACTTCTCAACAGCTTCTCCCCCCAAGCCATAAGACTCCTGAACAGCTAATCATGGCTACCCAGACTATTTGCACTGCCCCCCCCACCCCCACCCCCACCCCATCTTTGTACGCGCTGCTACTCTGTTAATATTTATGCATTAGTCAACTTTAACTCTACCCACAGTACATATTACTTCAACTACCTCAACTAGCCGGTGCCCCCGCACATTGACTCTGCACCGGTACCCCCCTGTATATATAGCCTCCCTACTGTTATTTTATTTTACTCAAACTTTTTTGTTGTTGTTTTATTTTACTTTATTAAAAATAAATGCACTGTGGTAAGGGCTGTGTATTCGCTGATGTGCGGTGTCAGTGCATGGGCCAGTGTAGAAAGCAAAACGAGATGGGAGACTGAGTCATTGTCCCCAATGGCCTCCGGCTAAACCGCCCTCCATTCTAGCTTGGATCAACATCGCTCTGTCCCCCCGTGTGCACACACAAAGCTACTCTCCCCCACTGTGTCTGTGTGTGACAATGTGTATTAGAGAGATTCCCATATATTGAAATCGATCCAGCTGAATGTTTAGTCCAAAACACAGTTACCATGCTATTTAACAACAAATGTACAGTACTAGTATAATCTAATAATAGCCTGTTTATTTGAATCCATTCATATGCATAAATTATTCCACAGAGCTAAGAGATTTGAATAGTTAATAGAGATTTCAATTGCTTCAGAAATTAAATAAATTGTTTCAAATTAACAGAGCACAGTGTTGGGCCGACTCCCCGGGACAGATGGAGAGTTGACAGAGACAATCCTCTCTAGTCAGACTGAATCACTTCCAGTTCGTCGGGGCAGAAGAGGCTGTCTCTCCTTTGGCTCTGAACACTGTTATTGGTGTCATTGACTGGGAGGAATGTGGTTTCAGCTGCTGTCCCAGGTGTTCAGTCCATGCTAATTTGAGGGTGGTGAAGCAACTACAGGACGACTCAACCCTGAAGCTTTGCTTCTCTTTCTCCTGTTCTGCTGTTCGAATGTGTGCAAGCATGCATGTATAAATACACAACATCAGTGTGCATTAGTGTGTATGTACTTTTCTGTGTGTGTGTGTGTGTGTGTGTATGTGTGAGAGAGAGAGAGTGTGTAACTGTATGACAGCACTGGGGCCCTCTCTATATTTAGCAGTGTGGAGCCCTGGGGCCACAGCTGCTGCCCGTGCGGTGTGCCATGTGCTGGGCAGGGAGAGCCCACTGTGTGCAGCCTGGCCGAGCTGTCAGCTCCCCTGCCGTCAATCCCTGCGCTCCCAGCACACACACACACACACAGCATTCTCTCACGCACCGTAGACTCACACAACACTCTTTGACACAGGGTAGACAAAGTGTGCAGCGCAAAGCACTCGTTCATGCATTGAGCACACCTTCGCACTGAGCACTTCTAAACGGAGGTCCCCCTTTCCCCCCAAACATACACAGGGTTGTACATTGTACCTACAATAGAGTTTGTCAGGCATAATTTGATGACAGAGACCGGTAACCAAGGCGCACACCACCTACTTTTACAGGGGTGTCTGTATTATGTAACCACTGTAACAAAATGCTGATGCCAATTTTCTGTTGTTGTTACTTCTGTTGAGATACAGCCGGCTGGTACAGAACAGCCAGACGATTTATCTGTTCATAAGTGAGTGGTTTCTAAAGCTCTTCTCAAGGCTTCAGTCGTTTGCATACTGTTGCTAGGGAACAGGCTTCCCCACCCCAGCAATCCCAGCAGGCCTTGGAAACAACAAGAGAACAAATATGGCCACTATCGTAAAGGCAGAGAGACCGCAAAGGCCATCTGTCACTGGGGACAGAACAGATTCCCACACACTCGTTTCTACGGACCAGGGGTTGGAATCGGTTCAGGGAACAGAACTGAAAACCGGAAAAGAAGGACATTTTTCAAGGAATAGAATCAGAACCGGGAACGAAAGTGATCTATACTTCTCCGGAACAGAAACGTTATTTTAAAAGCATGGGAACCGGTTAATAATGTTATTTTACATTCCTGGCATTTTATTTTCAGTCCCACAAAAAAACGAAAAGCCCTCCTCTGTCAATCAGAAACTTCTTCCAGTGTCTGCCTGCTAGAGGTGTGCCGAGTAGTCAGACAAAACTAGTATCATAACGGATATGGGACATTTTATGGATACGATTTGATCAGAGTATTTTTTTTAATTATCCATGATCTAATAAATTAATAAATTTGAGTGCCAGCACGCATCTTTCTCATGTCAGTCAAGTGAGGTGCTACGTGGTCTAAATAACTCAACTGGCTAGTTTGCCTGTCTGTAAAGAAAAGGGTGGGCTGTATATTGATCCTGTTGCTCTGATTGGATAGAGTGAAGCTGTATTTCTCTGTCCACTCGCTTCATAATTTCACCCGATCACTTTCACTTCTCTGTTTCAGTCTGATCATTCAGACTGCTGCTGCCTCCTACCATGATAAATCAAATGGCAAGGGCGTTTGGTATCAAACTATCAACGTGCATAATATCTAACAAGCGGGGCGAGGGTAGGGAAAAATATGAAACGCTGACGCGCATTCTGACTGATAGCAAACTTGTCTGCCCGCTGCAAGTTGAAGACACACAGACACACGTGTGTGATATTGCTTTAAAAAATACAGAACATGTAGTAGCACAGCAGAAAGGTTTTGGCCTTAACAGTGTACTGCAAACAACGGAATGCACATGTGCTTAGTGCAAATACTTTTTTCCATTGCAACATCAAACCATAGACCAGCAGAATGAGCAACAGAACACAAACCATGTCTATCACAGCTCTATTTAAATGTATACTGAACAAAAATAAAACACAACATGCAACAATTTCAATGATTTTACTGAGTTACAGTTCATATAAGGAAATCAGTCAATTTAAATAAATAAATTAGGCCCTAATCTATGGATTTCACATGACTGGGAATACAGATATGCATCTGTTGGTTACAGATACCTTTAAAAAATGGGCCTCAGGATCTCGTCACGGTGTCTCTGTGCATTAAAATTGCCATTCTTAAAATGCAATTGGGTTTGTTGTCCATAGCTTATGCCTGCCCTTACCATAACCCCACCGCCACAATGGGGCACTCTGTTCACATCAGCAAACCGCTCGCCCACACGACGCCATACACGTGGTCTGCAGTTGTGAGGCCAGTTGGACGTACTGCTAAATTCTCTAAAACGACATTGGCGACGGCTTATGGTAGAAAAATTAACATTAAACTCTCTGGCAACAGCTGTGGTGGACATTCCTTCCAGTCACCATGCCAATTGCAAGCTCCCTCAAAACTTGAGACATCTGTGGCATTGTGTTGTGTGACATTTTAGAGTGGCCTTTTGTCCCCAGCAAAAGGCGCACCAGTGTATTGATCATGCTGTTTAATCAGCTTCTTGATATGCCACACCTGTCAGGTGGATGGATTATCTTGGCAAAGGAGAAATGCTCACTAACAGGGATGTAAACAAATTTGTGCACAAAATTTAAGAGAAATACCGTTTTTGTACATATGGAACATTTCTGGGATATTCTGGGACCAACACTGTATATAGTGTGTATACTGTTATAGTGTATATAACCACAGTATCTCTTCTCTCTAAAACAAATGTACTTGTATGTATTTTATGTTTCTCAAGGCACTCTAGTCATGCCAATACATTTAAAAAACACTATTTTAACAGTTAATAGTAATACATGTCATATCTGTCTATATCCTCATACACCATTGACAGGGTGGGAAGGATAGGGTTAGGCTCTCACCTTCGTAGCAGTCGCGGACGGTGTCAAAGTAGACGTAGTACTCTTCGTTAGTGAAGAAGAGGAGGCTGAGCCACGAGTCGAAGGCGTAGATGGGAACGATGAAGAGGATGCGAACTATGTGCCTCTGCTCATTGGGAGAGCTGTAGTAGCGCAGGTGCATGTAGATCTGTCAAAGGGAGAAATGCAGATGGGGAGAGAAAGACACATTTAATCTCAAAGCTCCTAAAGGACCTGGCTAGATTATAATGTACTTCATTGTAGGAGAACAATTTAAAAAACTATAAACGTGACAGTTAAAAAGACAATGGAGTGAAAGGAGGGTAATTGTGTTTGAATATTCAACAGCCTCCTTCTCCCTGAGAGGGACCACAGCTCTGTCAACGTGAGCTAGCTAAAAATGGGCTAGCTGAATCAAGTGTCTCATGAAATCAATGTGTTTTCACCAGGGCTCTGTGACTGTGACTTTGTGGTCCTGCCCACATCCTGGGGAGAGCAGTCAACATCGTGTGTGCGTGTGTTTGTGTGATGAGTGGATCTGTGTTGCGTTTTTCCATTTTGACGAGCAGGCTCTGTCATCAGTACCTTTTGTCAACTTCATCTGTCCCCCTGTCCCAGGTTCCCACTTACACAATGCTACACCTATCACCTTTCCTGGCCTGGGCACACACACCTTTGGTAAAATAACAAACAGTAGGGTGCTTGCACACAGAGAGCACTGTACCCAGCTTTGTTGCTAGGCAACAGCCCTGCTCTCAATTGAGAGGAATCATTAACCTGGGCCTTTCAGTAGCTCTGAACCTACAGCAGGTTATATTGGTCTGTAGACAACATGACTACATATTTGAAGATCTTTGAAGACCTGCCACAACTACTTCATCATGGCTGAACAGCCTGAGGTGTTCCACGCTGGCTGTGTTCCAGAGTGCATATGGCAGGCGTGAGGAATCTGAAGGGATGCCTTGATATGCTTCTGCAGCTTCTATCTGCAATTTGATTTGTGCATACTGAGAAAACTACTATAGGCACTAGGCATCCATCTTATGCAGCAGGGAGACCACACTAATATATGATTAGAGTACACACAGTTGAAGCATATGTTAGATGTAGCATACAGAAAAAATAGATAGGAGTGTGTGTGTGAGAAAGAGTTCACTAGCCCCTTACCTGGTGGCAGGTTATTAGCAGGGCTGTCCAGACAAAGAACCCTGACACGGTCTGGGCAGTGGAGGTCATGAGGAAGTAGGGTTCCTCAGGGGTCACCAGGGGGGCCTCTGGCACCCAGGAGGCATTGGAGCCTGACGGGGCCGCTGTGGTCGGGGACCCTGGGGCCATATCTGCTGGGGAGTCATTTTCCATTCGATCTGACAGGGGCATGCCACGTCGCCACAGCTCCTCCATCATCTGGAGAGGAGGGAGACAACAGGGGGATATGGTGGGCTTCGGGTTTTCCGGATATTCACAATCACATTAACAAAAGTAGCTAAATATGTAGAAAATGTGGAGCTCCATTAAGGAACAGTGTGCCTTCCAAGGGACCAAAACCCTAGTTTCTTTTAAGGTTATCGAACACATTACACATGGATGGTTGTCTCGGGCATAACAATAAAAAACTACTAATTTATTCAATTGAACAATTAAAGCTGAAACTAACATCCTAGTGGACAGAGAAATCAGAATAAGATATAGAGAGGAGAGAGAAAGAGGGGAACAAGAAGGAGCGGGGGATGGAAGTTGAGAGAGAACACAGGGACAGAGTGAATCAGTCAGACAGAGCAAATTGGTGTGACATGGGCTGAGGGCCCACTGACCCAAATTCTCCTTCTCCTCTCCTGGTTTGAGGAGAGCAAGGTAGAGTGTAGGAGAGCCACAAATACACACAAATAAATCTCTATGGAGCAGACTGAAGGACAGACTGGGTGAGCTTAGTGGTTAAGAGCGTTGTGCTAGTAAACGAAAGGTCGCTGGTTCTAACCGAGCCAAATGGTGAAAATCTGTCGATGTGCCCTTGAGTAAGGCACTTAACCCTAATTGCTCCTGTAAGTCGCTCTGGATAAGAGCGTCTGCTAAATGACTAAAATGTAAATGATAGCTAATATGAGAGGAATTAATTGAAAGAAAGAAAAATGGTGAACATTCAAACATTTATGAGGTTGGTTTGGGTTTTTAGCCGTCAGCAGCACATTATCAATTCTAAAAGTCAGTAAGGTGACTGACACATATTGCTCATTAGGTCTGTAATACTGACTTCTTGCAGAGTAGCCAGACAGCATTTTTCTAATTGAAAACTGTAGACTAAGTGAACATTAGAAAGAAGGACGGAAGATTCTCCACACCCTTGTACTCAATCCAGGCATTAGTGATGCTCACTAGGTAATGTGATCACTAGATGCATCAGTCTGGAGTCCAATGATGGCAATAACCTAATCATTCAGAATAAAACTGTTTTAAAAAGAGGATTCAATTCATACGCATGGCTAAATATAGGCAGGCCGTGGCCATGGGTGACTCACGCTGCTTGACAAAGCCTGCTGTATGCATTACCTTTGAGGAGACAGTTACATTTGAGTGTCACACTCGTTTCCCTCAAGTAGGGTTTCTCAAGAAACTATTGGTTCATGATAAACATAGACTATTGACTGATGACTATTGAGGTTGAATATCAGCAATATGTAGGTCTATTCTCTATAGGCCTAGAGAATGAATGCCTATTAGGTTTATAATGTGATTTTCCCATGAAACAAATGCTTTATTATTCAAGAAAAGGGGAAAGGTTTGAGACAGTAGTAAAGAATGAAAGTATTGGTCAATATTGATGGCTTCTAAAAAACAGCAAACATGTTATTTTGATGAGGTATACTGCTGTTCAGTTCAAATTGCGAGCCATGTCTGGTGCATTTCGTTTGGTTCAATGACCAGAGAATTCATAGAGACACTCCATCAATTCCTGCTGACTGAACCTGAGGGTGCATTTCATAACATCTATTGTACTTTGACCTAAATCCTATCAGTCATCCAACATAGGCTTTTTGACATTGATGCCAAAATGAAACAAGCACAACATTACTGCAGTTTTCCTCTCCAGATATACCAAAGGCTTAACATACTAAGGATAATATAGGGTGTTGTAGTGAGAATGATAATTGTCCTCTGTAGCTCAATTGGTAGAGCATGGCGCTTGTAGGGCCAGGGTAGTGGGTTCGATCCCCGGGACCACCCATATGTAAAAATGTATACACGCTTGACTGTAAGTCGCTTTGGATAAAAGCGTCTGCTAAATGGCATATTATTATTATTATAAATGAATAACAAAATAATTTCCATGAAAAGACTACATGAAAAAACATGAAAACAATAGCAGCTGCCCATTTTCATATGAGAAGAAAAGGCTACCAAAAACCTCTTTATGGATGATTTCATTATGAAAATGGTCATTGTACAACAAAGTGAAAACAGGAGCTGAACTTACAGCTATGTCAGCAAGCGAAAGCTACATTCGTCGTTCGTTTGGAAACACTGTTTCTATCCATCCATTCCGAACACAAAAACACAGCGCGAGCGGTGGCTTACCTGCCTTTGCTGCAGTTGTTTGATGTGTGCACACACTGCGGCTGTTTGAATCCAAGCATAAATGTATCATATACGTTATTAGCTACGGCAGGCACACATTGATAAAATAATAATTCATACTACATTTAAATTACTGCAATATAACGTCAAGTGAGCGACCAATTTAAACCATGTTTACAGTTTTATCTAGCTCGCTAGCTAACGTTAGCATAGCTAGTTAGGTAGCTGCTCGCAAACTCTTCAAAGCCTAGGCAAATAAAAACTTTTGTCTGTACTAATAGTCCATCTCATGTAGATAAACTGTATTCAGTCACTATAATTTCAAAATAACACTATCGGGGAACGCTCGTGAATTCGGCTCCGTTATTCCCCTGTACCTCTCCCAGCGATTCACTACGCTAGGATTTTACAGTAGCAGGATAGCGGAACTCCTCCACTGTTCCTGCTTTCACGCAGGCGCAGTAGTTCATTGCCTTGAGCCACTTTCCCATTATTATTATTTTTAAATTTTTTTTAATTTAACCTTTATTTAACCAGGTAAGGCAGTTGTACATTTTACATTTACGTCATTTAGCAGACGCTCTTATCCAGAGCGACTTACAGTTAGTGAATACATATATATATATTTTTTTCTACTGGCCCAGTTGAGATTTCATTTACAACTGCTACCTGGCCAAGATAAAGCAAAGCAGTGCGATAAAAACAACAACACAGAGTTACATATGGAATAAACAAAACGTACAGTCAATAACGCAGTAGAAAATCTATATACAATGTGTGCAAATGTAGTAAATTATGGAGGTAAGGCAATAAATAGGCCATAGTGCAAATTTGCAAAATAATTACAATTTAGGATGAACACTGGAGTGATAGATGTGCAGATGATGATGTGCAAATAGAGACACTGGGGTGCAAATGAGCTAAATAAATAACAATGTAAATAACAATATGGGGATGAGGTAGTTGGGTGGGCTAATTACAGATGGGCTGTGTACAGGTGCAGTGATCGGTAAGCTGCTCTGACAACTGATGCTTAAAGTTAGTGAGGGAGATAAGTGTCTCCAGCTTCAGAGATTTTTGCAGTTGTAACTCGTATGCCAGCTGGTCTTGCATTGTTGTGCAAACGCAGATTTCAGAAATGTGTTTGTGTATGAAGAATTTACCAGGTAGTATAAAGAAGTTAATTCATTCAGTAGCTTTGTTTTCATTCGAATAATATATTACATATTTAATTGTAAATACATAGGTTTTATTAATGAAATAAAAAATGCAATTACTTAGCTCGCTCCAAAATAACTTCAGTCACACTCATAAAACATTTGAATAATAGTTAGCCCTTCGTCACACAATATTCGGGGTAGGCACCTGTTGTTTACGAAGCATGTGACGAATAAAATTTGATTTAGAAGGGTATCTTTTGTGCAATATTTTAAAGTGAATTTCTTTCACTTTATTTGATATACAAATAAAGGTGCAACCAAGCTTTCTGCCATTCAATTTCAGTAATATATGCGTTCCAGAAGAATTTCAATTGAATATTTAAAATCTCTACAATTAGTAATTTACAAGACCAATATTTTCTTACATAATTTTAAACAAATGTAACCCCTGATCCTTTTAAATTTGTATCTGCAAATGGAATGTAAAATGTATATTATTCCTGACATCTTCATGTATTCAAGTGTAGTGACTTTTACTTTATTGTATGTTTACAGATTGAAAAATATGTACTGAGATGTTTCTCATTAATGTATTGACAATATAATTTGAATTGTGTTGTTCAGACCCAGTCACTCCTCCGAAGTCCCCTTCAAATGGTCCTCTTTAAGATTCAATAACACAAATGTGTCATTTCCCAAATGCAGTGTACAGCTACAAAAATAAACAGTACACAACAAAAAAGTGCATAGAACTGAAGTAGAATATTAGAGCCATTAAAATAAAAAAAAGTTAGGAATTTTTTTTTTAAAATTTGTATTTTATTACGTCATAAAATATACACAAATACTGTTGTAAATAAAGTTAAAGTGTGTTAAAGAACTGTACAAGATATCAGTACACAATACATAAGTGTATACTCCCCATAACCTGACCAGCAATAGCCCTCCCCTCCCCATTGAGTTACATTGCCACTGGGTCACACTGGCCTGTCAAAGGGACACATCACAAACACAGGTCATTACCAGAATCTGTGACATCACTGTGACTGCATCCGAGTCCCAGTTATCATCAATGACATCAAGGGTGCTGGTAAATGACATCCAGGGACCTCTATTTTGCAATAGAAGGCGCCGATGACATCAACCCACTGTCAGCATCCCCTTTTTCAAGTGTGCTTTTGTTTTAAAAAGGAAAAGTAGTCATCCCTATATCAGGTCCTTGGTGGAGAACATGGACAGCTTCTCCTGGAAAGGCTTGGAGTGGAGTGATGGGGAGACAGTGTAGTGACAAAGTCTCAACAGGCTATGAACAAACTGCTGGGAATAAGATACACTGGACAAAAAGAGGAAAAACAAAGTATTGCACTTTAAGAGTTTCCTCATACACAAGAGAAACAAAATGGAGTTTAAGAAAAATAAATAACAGTGAGAGACAACAGACAATCTCAAATAATGAGGCATGATAAATGTATAGCCTGCAGTTTGTCCCGAGCAGCCCTGTGATCTTAACAGGGGACCTATGTAATTCTGAGAGTCCATGCACCAGACCTACAATTCTGTTGACACACAAAGCCTAGTTATATGACCCAGTTGGCGATGTAAAAATGGCTAAAATCCCCTCCCAATTTAGCACTTAATATTTTCTAAAATTCTGATCCCCAGCCGCAATTTATGCATTTAGTATGTATTCTTCTACATTACACCTCAAAAACAACCAACCACATTTTGGCATTACACAGAAATTAAAAAATATCTACAGTGACGTTAAAAAAAAATCCATTCCACCATTCAATCAATTAGAGCTCGTCCCATCAGACCTCCAAAAAGAAAAGCATAAAAAAATTAAAAAAAGTTGCCATTAAGAACAATCATGAAAACCACCATCATTGGCCAACTTGTTAATCTCAGTCTCTGGTCAAATACATTAAGCAAGCTTGTGATTCTCCCATGTCTTAAGAGTGTTGCACCGTCTCTTAAAATAAGCCTGGTTACTTTGACCTTACCAACCTACCCAATATTATGACCAAAGAACACAAATCAATGGAGGCCAAAGTGGGCGAAAAGGGAGGATAAAAAAAAAGTGTGGATGTGGTGGTGAATAAATGAGAGCGGGAGAAGGGTAGAAAAATGCATGTTCACCTCAATCTCTGCGTGAGGTGTTGGCTTTGGGTAACATCAGTTCCAAAGCGGGCTGAAGTAGCCTAAATGCAAGGCTAAAGTGGAGGATTAGCAATTCAGTAAGAGGTGAAGTAGGGGAAAAGAACCCAACACTATTTCTACACCATTACAGCTAATAATCACTTGCTCTTCCCTTCATCATCTACCACTCACCCATCTCTCCAACCCTTCTCTTCATCTGTACCTTTCCCAAATAAAACATCAAATAAGAAACTAAAATCGCCCAAGCCTCAACAGGACCCACACCAAATGAATGATCTATTCACAAAATATGCACAGTAAATCATACCTATGAGTACAGCCCCTTACTATTCTATAAATGAACTGGTTAAAACATACATGGGTACATTTGTGTGGTGTGGTCTTCGCAGTGTAAACAGAAATCGCTAAATCCACACAAGCCCAAATTTCGAGTTGACCTTCTCTTGGTTTGGAACGCGTTTGTGCCCGCGGCTATATTTGGCAAAGGAGCACCTGCTTTTCGACCCCCAAATCAGTCTTCTACCTCTGCCAGCCGCACAGAGCATAGTGGGTGAGGGACAAAGGTGTGTGTGGCGGGGGGTGCATGATCCAAGCTACCATGGGGTAAATAGGTCAGTGGATAGGAGGGTATGCTATTCATTCTCTTATCCTTGTACTATTGTAGGCCAGGGTCATCCCATCAAAGTTAGGGTGGAGGGGAGAGATTCCTGCAGTCCTTGAACAACTGTAATCCTTTTTTTCATTGTTTTATGATTCTCTGTCCGTTCCTCCAAGATCCACTTATTTGTCCAATTGGCCAAAATTTCTCTTGAAGCCCTGCAATGGAAGATTACATATTTAGTCAGATGTGTAGATATGTGATAAATAACAACAAAAACTGTCTGACAAACTAGGTACATTTACTTAAGTCCTGTGTGTCAACATAGGGAAAGAGACATCCTCACCTATCAGTATCCAGTGCATGTGGAGCTGAAGGTTTCACTTCCCCAGGTGCTCAAATGGCATGCTGACCTGCAGAGAATAAAGGAGGTGAGAGAACAAATGACTCAGACAATTGGAGTGCAAATGAGAGGGCGATCAAGTGGGTGCCACCACCATGGCACAATAAAATAAAAAAATAAACACACTGCATGCTACATAATATAGAAGCTAAACACCAATAGGAAGTCCTCTGAAACTTCTGACAAGAAATGTAATCTTGTTCTGGAAGAGTGGACATTTTTCAAGTTGATATTCTCCCTCAAAAAGTTGGTTGTAGTAGTTAGGAGTTGGGCTCAGGTGCATGGCACCTGGGTTTTAGGGTTTGTGATGACGTATGATGGGGGTAGCGTTAGCATACCTGCGATGTGGAAATTCGGGATTGGTCATGACGGGCTGTGAAGTCAGAGGATGACACGTTTGCGGGGGCTCCTCGGTGGAGCCGCATGCTCACCTTCCTCTCACGCTCAGCGCGAGAGATTGCCCGCGGCGACGTGTTCCCTTAAAGAGGAAGAATACGAGGGAGGAGGCCATTTAGAAATAGTCAGAACTGTTCACTTTGCAAACCGTAATTTCTGTCAAGGTGTTTACAAAAGTATTTATCTACAAAAGCTATTTCTTTGTCCCCCACGATGAAATTGGGGAGTGGTCTGAGGATGTGTCTCCGTTCGTTCGTACATTAGTCGCACGCAATCTCTCAGACAGCACTGGACCAATTTTGACAAAACTTGGATTAATGATGTGTCTTGCCATAGAGATCCGGCATTTATAAATTACACTGATTGGCAGAAGGCAGGAGCTATAGTAATTAACTGAAATGTGTGACTATCTCAATTGTCCCTTTTGGATAATTTCCTAAATGTTTCTATTCCATTCAACTATAGCTCATGTTAAAAGAGCACAGGAGTGTGCTCACCAGACTGCAGCACCCGTGAGGCGGGGTTGGAGATGGCCTGCTCTGGTCCGTTCCTAACTCTGTTGGCGGCTGGTGGGTTTGGCCCTGGCGGGAGACCCCGTGCAGCAGATCCCAGAGGGCCTCCTACGATACGTTCGTCCCTCTCGTCGGCTCCCCTCCTCTCACCATCCTCTGCTGTCCTACTGGCACCCTGAGAGGAGACCACGCAAGTTACAGCAAACACAGACCTCTATATGCATAGAAAAATACATCAAAATCTTTCTGAATCATTCTGATTATGTGGACACTATGGAGACCGTATACCACTGCTCTCCAACCCTGTTTCTGGAGAGCTACCCTACTATAGATTTTCACTCCAACCCGTTGTAACTAGCTGATTCAGGTGTGCAAGATTAGGGTTGGAGCGAAAACCTACTTGACGGTAGCTCTCCAGGAACAGGGTTGGAGAGTCCTGGTGTATACAGACAGAATGTAGCACTTAGTTCCTTGTAAAGAATAAGAGCTTTGGTGTGGCAAACTCACAAATTTGAGCATGTTCCAGTCGAATACGTAGTCATAGGAGAAGCCTTGTCTGTGGAACAGATTCCTGAAGAGCTGCCGAAGGTATGAGTAGTCTGGCTTGTCGTCAAAGCGCAGCGACCGGCAGAAATTCAGGTAGGTGGAGAACTCGGCTGCAGACAAGCAATACCAATAAAAGGGAAGGGTGAGCAAAAACCCAGGATTGAGAGACTGTGGTATATGCAAACGTTTGTTACAATGGGGAAGGAAAATAGTTGTCCACACACAGTGATAGAACTGTCACAGCCCAGACAGATACTAGCAGTCACTTACAGGGGTAGCCTTTGCAGAGCACCTCGATGGGGGTGGACATTTTTTTCTCGCTGATGCGTTCGTACTTCTGCCTCTTTGTGGCGGCTTTGAGGCCTTGCCAGGGCAGAGAGCCCAGGTTGAAGTACATGAGGACATATCCCAGAGACTCCAGGTCGTCACGCCGTGACTGCTCTGAAGGACGGGAGACAGGTTTGAATGATTTGCTATTTAGGACATTGACAGGATCGAGGAGTATCAAAATATGTAAGCTAAGGACAAGGGGACAATAGTCCCTATATCTCAACACTAGGCATGAGCATTGGAGGGTAAAATGAAATCACATTCATAAAGACATTTAGATATTCAGCCAAACAGGAGGAGTTGATTTAAAGTCCCTTACCGATGCCCAGGTGGGTGTTGATGGATGCGTAGCGTGCAGTGCCCGTCAGGTTCTTGTTCTCCCTGTAGGGGATGTGCTGGTGTGTGCGTGCGTCTCTGTACTTCTTGGCCAAGCCAAAGTCGATGATGTACACCAGGTTGCCCTTCTTCCCCAGCCCCATGAGGAAGTTGTCGGGCTTGACGTCACGATGGATGAAGTTCTTGGAGTGGATGTACTCGATGCGACTGATCTGGAGAGGACAGAGGGGGATTTAGAAGAAAAGGAGACGTGAGACTCAACAGAAAGCTCTGCTGGGATGGTCTGTAAAAGCCTTGACGCCTTACTGTAAGCTAACAGTAATTTAAACCCTCCAACAGCCAATGGTAAAAACAGAAACACCAATAAGTAACAGAACAAATATGAGCAAAAGGAAGATCATTGAGGAGGACAGGAAGTGGAGAAAGGACACAGGTTAATGACAGCCAAAGACTATAGAAGAGTGATACGACTACACAACAACGTTAGAAGAGAAAAGGATGACACAGCAACACAAGCAAAGTTAGGTCAGCAGACAGAGCTAGAGGTAAAGGGTATAGAGGACAAACAGTACAATGAACGTTGAGGGCAAAAGATGACACCATAAGAGTTCTTAGAGTGCAGCTGCATGAGAGAGGCTGTTCTGTACCATCTGGTCTGCCAGCAGTAGCACTGTTTTGAGGCTGAACTTGCGGGAACAGAAGTTGAAGAGGTCTTCCAGACTGGGGCCCAGGAGCTCCATCACCATGACGTTGTAGTCTCCCTCTGCCCCGCACCACTTTATCGAGGGAATCCCCACTGTCAGGCAGGCACAAATAAAGTAGCTTTTAGTGTGCATCTAACCATAGTTACATCACTTGCGCATACATCCTTTATGGCTAATGTCATACAACAAAAATGTCAGCAAAGGAGTGTTTCAGTGCTCAACACATGATTCTTTTGGTGAACATGATACTTCTGAAATAAAATAAATGCAATAACTGTGTACATTTGACCATTTTTGATGATAGTCACTACTTATTTTGATCACAATACACTCAGACGTGTCAACATGGCATTTACTAGGAATTCACTAATGTTCCTTCTCAGTCATCCGCTTCCCCCCCCATTCGCCTTACCTCCTCCCTGCATCATCTTGTAGAACTTGCTCTCGATATGCAGCTGTGGGTGTTTGGTCTTCACACATTCCAGCTTAATGGCCACCTCCTCGCCTGTGGCAATGTTGGCACCTGAGGAAGCGCACGCACACACACCAGGGCTAGACTCAGGAGCAACTTGTCAACCATTCCCCGGTTGAACACCCAGGGAATGGAAAGATAAAGTCTAAGGCTAAGAGGAGGAAAAAAGCCAATACTGGGGCTAGGCCAGTAGACAGAGTGGCAAATGGACAAGGAAGAAGAGAAATGCCAACAGAGGGAGATGGAGCACCTTCCACTTACCAAGGTAAATGTCTCCAAAGGACCCACTCCCTATTTTCCGCCCCAGCCGGTACTTGTTCCCCACTCTCAGCTCCATGGCGTTGAAAGTTCACTATGGACACAGAAGAACAAACATTTGATGAGAAGAGGCCAAGATGTTACGAGGCAACCATGAACATACAGTCTTAAATTTGACACATGGCATAGGCTACTTTGCAAATGAAGAGAAACAGAAATTATACAAATCCAACATAATTCACCAGATCTTGATTCGAAGGCAAACTTGCTGACTAATGGAACATTTCTTCCAGAACCAGCAGTAGGCAGTCTTACAATGGTCACTTTGCACATTCCAATACAGGATGACCAATAACTGCAAACAACTAAATGAACTGAGTGAGTGTGTAGCTTGAGCAGGTTGATTAGCAGACAGCTGTCTGGATTCCAGCGATAGGCTACACGATTACATTTGTAGAGCTGTTGGGGGGAGGTGGTACAGAGAAAGTGGGAAATAGAGAAATACAGAGGGAAATATGGAAGATGAGACCGAAAGAGAGACGAGACAGAGCAACAACATATCCGGCTGGAAGGGCCCGGGTGCGGTCTCCAGAGTCAGCTGGGGCCTGGATAGTAGAAATTGGCAGACACGATGGAGGGAAGGAAGTGAGTCTTCTGAGCCAAACTGCACGTGACACTGGAGCAGGATCATCATTTATTTAGCCCTCTCAACCACACCATATTCTGCAGCCACTGCAAAGGCTGATGCTGCGCGGGCTGTATGTGTGTCAAAGCCCAGAAACGACTGCAATGAACTTCAGAGCAAGACCTGGGGAAGGATATGAGGCATAATTTATAGAAGAGCGCCACAACGCTCTTTATAGTAAAGCTTTTTCCACCTCTCAGTTGACAATGTAGTACAGACAGATGGGAAGCATGACTGTTAGTTCTCAATACTAAACTACTACTTTAGAGCTTTTCATTGTATGTGTATGATCTTGTCATGTTTTTCCTACGATTAGGCCTAGGCCATCCTACAACACGGACCACATTATACCTCTTTACATCACCATGATTACAGATCTACTTCCTCTCAAGATAATACTTTGGAAATGCAAGTGGCACATGACAGAGCAGAACGAGAAACAAGAAGAAGCATTCTCAGTCAACCTCAGTTTTGTGGGCAATGGGCATACCAATTCAGGAATGGAAAAAGTAATCAATTGTGCAGGACTAGTTGTGTGTATTTAGACTAGCAAGGGGGACCAAATATCTTTCCGGAAATGATTCCAAAAAATTGGTATGAGGTTCTTTCCATTGCCTGTGGTGTTGTCAGAAGAAGTGTCAGCTGACTAGGTGATAGACAGAAATACAGATGTGATGGTAGTAGATGGATTAGGTTTCTTTACAACATGAGGGTTTCATCTGCAGAGACCCGGCTCAGGCCTAACATAAATTATTTAGCAGTTGATTAATCCTACTGGGTCACGTGAGAGGTTTTATCAATAGATCAAAGTTGTTCACTCACAGTTCAGAGCCAGGCTTTATATTTTGGTAGGAAAGGATCAGGACCTGGTAACTACAGTGTAACCATACACTCTGGCACCATGTATTGCAATATTCAACCATTACTACTATTCCCATGAAACCACTACAGAGTACTCACTGACTTGAATAATTTAATCAGTGTGGGCCTGTAACCTACATAGAATTACAACTCTGTTTTAACAAAAAACCACATGAAAAGAGACTGTCTTTTTCCCAAAACAATACAACTAGGCCTACATAATGCCAGTTTATTTCACCCAGTGTCAACATTAATGTATTAGCTAGGTATGGCAACGTGAAATGTAACATTTGCATGGACAAAATCATTTTATGGATGCATCGTTTGAGTACCAGAAACCCATCTAAACATCTTCTCTACTCTATCTTCTTACGTCACCCTTAAGAAAGCTGTCGCTGCGTTAGTAACAATCAATCAAAGGGGAAGCATCTCAGCTAGGTTGAATAGTTATGTGACATTTACGATATCACTCAAAAGTCGAACTGATTACAATAATAATATCTACCGTAAACTTCAAACAAAAGGTTGCCTGGGCTGCTACTGTGACTATACCAACTGTCCGTATACAGTAGTGGTATGTTAGCATTGGTTGTGCCTAGCTAGTAAGTAGCCTGAGAATACGCTTTCCGCTTCTAACATGTACCAGTCATTCACATCATTTTAAAGAAATACCTTGAAGCTTCACAAATAGTTGACAGTGTATGCTAGTATGTAACATTTTGACTTTATTCTAGCCACACCCTTACACTGAGGTACCTACCCAATGTTCTCCAGTGATAGCCATCTCTATTCGCCCCCTCCCCCTCTGCGACGCCTGAATACAAGACTCCGGTTCCGGCCGAATCAAGTCCCCTTTCCCCCCTGGTTTCGTCGGTTCCCCAGTACACTACTCACACGATTTTAGGTTTATCCGAGAGGTGGTTCGGTGGCGGTGCTGATCCGAAGGTTGTCAGTCAGACTGGGCCCCGGGCAGCGAAGGATGGGAACGGATTCTGGTGGCTCTCATACCCCAATTTTCCTCTTGCGTCGGCTGTACTCTCTGTTGATAGTCCCTGAGAAGCTTCAATACGAATGGCCGTCTCTACCAGAGTTCTGTCTCCCCCTCTCGTTACTTGCAACGCACCATTAACAACATCGATGATGTCAGAAGCACCCGGATTGCCTTAAAGAAATAGAACATCTAGAAATGTAGACATTCTTAAATGTTACAGATTTGAGGAATAGGTAGCCTCAGAAAATAGGCTGCATTTACACAGGCAGCCCAATTCTATTTTTTTTCTTCACTAATTGGTATTTTGACCAATCAGATCAGCGCTGAAAAAGAGCTGATATGAAAAGATATGTGATTTGTTAAAAGACGAATTAATGTAAAGAAGATCATCATTGGGCTGCTTGTGTAAACACAGCCATAGATAGTTGGCTTTTGTTCAGTTATTCACAGAATAGGCCTTTGCATGAATGATGATTATATTCTTATGAACATTGTTATGAAGGATAGTAGAGTGAAGACAAGAGCTATCATAACAAATAGTAATGGTTCTGGTTTAAAGATAGTGAAGATTCCATCCAGACATTAGTCCTCATGCACATTACCAAAGGGTGCTCCATAGTCCTGCACCCTGGAGTTTGGACACAACCAGCAGAAGTGAAAGGATAGCAGAGGTCCCCATAAAGTACCTCTGGACCTTGATGTTTTTGCACAGTGATGGGCAACTGGCAGCCCCCTCTTTTGTGGAAATCAGTTGGGGTCTCAACTTAATGTTGAAAGTCAGAATAGTAGAATACACAAGGTACAATTTCCAAATTTGGATGTGCATCAGCTGTTTTTTTCTTGTTATGTCAGTCACTGACAGTCACTCAATTAGCCCATGTCAGCTAAAATTTTTTAGATTGGTAAATTAGTCTTGCCAGCTATCTAAACTTGTAGTAATCATGGTCAAATACCAACCAGGGGTTCCCCATTGATTTTGTTAGTCACTCTCACTCAGATATCATTCAAAACTGCAAAAATGTCTCTCCACCCTATGGCAAAATTAGTAGAATTGCAGGGAATGTGTTATAAAATTGCTAAATTTCTCTGCCCCATGGCAAAATGTGTAGAATTGCAGGAAACTGCACAATTATTCATTTTTCTCTTCGATGTCAAGAGGGGGGCCGCTAAAATGTTTTGCTCGGAAGGTGGGGGGGGGGGGGGGGGGCAACAAAATGTCACTTAAGGTGCCCAAAAGGCTAGGGCCGGCTCTGACTGCAGGTGTGGATGTGGGTACTCAGACCCACAAGCCACTGCAGCCCCTCATGATGAGTTCAGATTTTTTGTGGCCCCCACCCCCATCAAAGTTGCCCATCTCTGGTTTTGCATGTCTGGCTTTTCACATACAGGATTGAAATAATACTCAATACTGTCACACTAATTGTACCACAACATGGTAGATCACTGGAGAAGCACAGGTTTCTTACAGGCTGTGGCTTGTACAGTAAATAGGATTGGTTAAGATGGCAGAGCAGGTGGACACAGGCTTATTTGAGTGTGTGTGACGTGGACACAGAAACCTGTGCGTGAAAGGTGTTGAGACACCGGTGGATAAGAGGCCATTCTGTATAGATGGACAAATCTCAATGACCACAAAACAAGTAGAAGCCAATACTTTAATCTTTATTATTAATCTTGTTCTTTTTGTTTAAATAAATTTTCCTTTGTAAAATCTCAAAACGAAACACTGAACAGGAGTGTTAAAGCCTGTCTTAATTTAAAACGATACACAACAAAACATAAAAACACACGGTAACTATTTTCTGTGTCTTGTAAACAACCCCCCACCACTCCACAGTTTGATAAGATTTGGCATGTCCTTTTTTCAATACATATGCCTTCAGCTCTTTGTCATTAAAATGTTATTTTTTTATTATTGCAGTTCGGACGATAAAAAAGACAGTCTGCAAAAAAATCTTAAAATGAGAAAACAAAGCATTAGTGCCAATGTTCTTGAACACAGTCAGCAGTATACCGAATGCACTCAAAACATACTTTTAGATCTTCTGTAAGCAGCCTCGCACACTACTCATGACAGGCAGTAACATGCACACATACATTATCCTCACACACACACACACACAGGGGTTTTTCCCACTTGGTCTCATTCGCACTCATACACACACACACACTGAGTATTCCACACACAGTATCCCACTCTCTGAGAAATGCAACGTTGCCTCATACTGCCAGTTTCAACAATTATCATAGTAACAGTAACACACGTGATTGAGAGAAAAACAACAGTAGGAGGTCAGCATTTGAAAGGAACAATTACATTTCAGTATTCCATTTTTCAAAATAAAACAACCATACAAACAGAAAACTAACATACACAGTAAGATACAGTTCTGTCATCAATCAGAGCAGTGTGTTTGCATGTGTTTTGATTCAGTCTCCATAAGGGACATGAATGGAAACTGCAGGTTGTCCTGCATCACGTAGAGTTTTCCTATATGATGCGAGTAATGCTGTTACAGTGCCCATCTGTCTGAAGGCTAGTTAATATTTGGTGTGTGCATGTAAGTCTGTCATCAAATCACCTACTAAGCACAATGCAATCCAGCCAGTCTCTCAGACTGACAGACTAATTTTTCAGGTTCAAGTCTAGCAGTTGAAATCTTCATCTGTGGAAAAAGGCCTTATACACATCTAACAGTCCCTGCATTTGTTTATATAATAGCTTAAGTCTGGCCATGAGAATGTGTGTAAGCATGTCTCACATTTCTGCTTGTGTTAAACGTGGTTATATATTGTAATTTCTATATGTATTTATGTGTGTTTCCCAGTGTATGTTGTGTCAGTGTGTCTAAATATATACTTATGTGAAGGTGTGTCAGATGGAGTCAGCCCCTCCTCCCAGCAGGTCACCAGGCAACAGGGCAGCTGGGCTGCCCATTTGGTGCCTGTCCTCCATTTGGGGTGCACCCCACAGGCTGCTGCTGGAGTAACCTGGGGTCACACCCCCCCAGAGCCCAGACCTCCCTGCCTCCACCCGTCCCACCCCACCCCCTACCCCCTTCCCAGCCCCGTTGGCGCTCCACTGAGCAAAAATACCAAGCCCAGGTCCTTGGGCTGAGGTGGCCTCCGGAGAGCTGCCCGTACCATCCAAACTTTGCCAGCCAGAGCTGGAAGGCCCCACACTACCCAGAACCCCTCCTCCCCCACTGTTTCCACCCGAATTGTTTCCTGCTCCTCCTCCTACTGCTCGTTCACTCCCCGGGGAGCCCCCTCCGCTGTTTCCCACCGCTGTGCGCGTTCCTGACGAGCCCTGGGCCGCCCCTGCCCCTGGGCTGGCCCCCTCCGTCCCTCCAACCTGGGAATGTGCAAAATAGCGAGCCACTTCCTCATCACTCACAAACTCCGCCAGGATTGTGGTGTTACCCAGAACGCACCTGGAGAAAACAAAAATAGGGCCATTGGCTTAGTCTAGTGTCCTTTAGTAAACAGGTGAAGTAGTAGACATTTTACATTAACTGAATGGTCATCAGGCTCTGATTCAGCATTATAATCTGAGAAGACTTGTTTTTAAAAAGAAAGTACTTTGTGTGCGTAAATGAAAAAATGCTCAAGACTGCAACAAATATATTAATCATTGCAATGATAAAATCGAGCAATTACTACTTTTGAAAACATGCTGCATGGAGATTACATTTCAGCACATTTGTACATCTTTTATTAAAGGCGTTAAGCATGACACTAGGCAGCAGCCCGGTGTGTGTTAGTGTGTCGAGGGGTAGTAGCCTACATGTGCAGTGCACTCTGGGCCTTTGCTGCTTCCTGACGGGTGCTGTAGCGAATCAGGGCGCTGCCCTGAGTCAGGCCGAGGTGAAAGGTCAGCAGGGGGCCGTGCTGCATACAGATAGTCCGTAGTGTGGAGCCATCTATCTGTACGGGAACGGAAAACTTAAAATGAGATACCAGTGTGTCTGTGGTGGGCAAGTGTGAGACTGTAAAAGGGCGGGCAGTAGAATTAAACATTTTCCATCCTGTTTTTCCCTGAGCAGCCCTTTCATGCCAAAGCCATTCATGCAATCCTTAATTGATTAAATGGATCAGCCAACTTCACAATCCAATAACACTTGGGTCACGCATGATACCAGCTCATTTGCATAAGATACACCAAAGGAGAATGCTGATGAACAAGAAATTATTATTTAATGTATTCAAATTCATGCCCACCTCTCTCAATGGCCATTTTGTTTAACAGCTGTGATAAATTCCGCTTCGATGATGGGTCAGAAAACATAAAATTCTGAATCACCCATAACATAATCCCCGGGCCCCCTTTCCCCCCCTCATCCTTCTACTCATTGGTGCTAGTGCTAACATCTTTATCAATTCTCTCCCTGTCTGTACCTGAGGGGTGAGGTTGCTGAGCAGCAGCCAGCAGCTGCCTCTGGAGGCCACACCATCACTCCACGCTGAGCCTACGGAGGAGAGAGGGCAGTCAGAAACAAAGGGTACTCTTTGAATCTTTTTTCTGTTGTAAAGCCAGTGAGTGTACACATGGGTATCTAATAAATATCTTACTACAATGAGTTCTGAAAACCAACAGCTATAAATGGTTTCCGTATCAAGTTGGCCAGGAAACATAAAAATCGCTACAGGGTTGTTCCAGAGATATAATATTACCTGTCCCAAATCTTGAATCCTGACTGGCTCCGCCCTCTCCCCAGCCCCTGGCCAACCGTGGGGCTCCGCTGCCCCATGGGGATGTTAAGGCCTGTTTCTGACTGGTCAGTCCAGGAGGGGGGCGTGGCAGCTGGGAGCTGACGCGATTGGTCTTCCACGGCTTGTTGTGTCCAATGGGCTCTGGGGGCCAGCTGGGTTTGTACTCAGAGTACTTTGCTGAGGAAACAAGCACAACTTTCAACATACCAAATAAATGACCAAGGGAAATATAGCTAATTTTTATATATTATCAATTTACAGAGCTTTGGTTAGAAGCTCATTCTTTCAAACATGAGACTTTAAAGCTGTTCATATATTAGAGAGTGCCGCTACCTGTGCTGTGTGCATTGCCAAGGGGGCTGTCTGAGGCACTGTAGGGCCAGGCACCTGGTGAAGGCAGCAAGGTGTTGAGGGAGGGGTTTGGCCCTGTGAGCGAGCGAGCGAGAGAGAATGTGTCAAGAAATACTGCAATACAACATATGGCGTGCCTAGGGCTGTGGCGGTCACGAAATTTAGTCAGTCAGTGATTACCAAGCAATTAACTGTCGGTCTCACAGTAATTGACAGTTAATTAACATAAGCACATTTAGCATCTCCTGGCTTCCACACATAGCCTACAAGCCACTGATGCAGACCTTTGGAATATCTACATTTTAAAAAGTCTAATAGATCCATGTAATATTGCCTACACCGTCACAATTTACATTGACATTTTAGTCATTTAGCAGACGCTCTTGTCCAGAGCGACTTAGTTTATTTAAAATTTTTATACTGGCCCCCCGTGGGAATCGAACCCACAACCCTGTCGTTGCAAGCGCCATGCTCTACCAACTGAGCTACACGGGGCCATAATAAATCCATTATTTATTTTAGACAGGTCTAAAGTAGCATGATATGAAGAAAATGTAATCTCCCGGAGTGCTGCGTGCTCCATCACGTGATCGGGTCCTTCTCACAGGCTACAAGTGAAGACAAACACATTGGGGAGGCAACTGTGTGCGTCCTTATCCAATTCCGAGGTGCATATTGAAGTTATTGGAAGAACTGTCCACATTTACTTTTCGTCAGCCAACAAGATGAGTAGGCCTAACAAACACCAAAAGCACTAGCCTATGTCAATCTACTATCCCCAATAGTACAAAAGTCTACCTATTCTATAGCGGAAAAACACCATTATCAAAAATGACCGCAAATGCAATTATTTATGTAATGCTTGTATTATAAAAAGGTGCATTTTTATGAGGAAAATTATCTTCCCCAATCTTGAAACTCACGTGCTGCTTATGTATGCCAGTTAGGCTCTAAAGCGGATTAATGTGCTTAATTTTAAAGAAGTTATTTGGCAACTTTAGTTGTGATACAAACCTTATTAAAACATATAGGCCTATGAGCTAGGCTACATGAGGTGTGCGACTATGATTAGAAAAAGTCGCAAAAAAAAGGCATTGTTTATGCTGGGCATTCACTTATCATTCACAGGTGATAATATATAATTCACAAGTGATAGGCTAATATTGTCACCCATCAGACTATTCTTGATTTAATCTTGTCTTTACATATAATAAATCATATAATTTGTGAAATTCGTTTTGATTTAGAATGGACCATTATCATACACCTGTATCGAAACAGGGGCAGCGAGAAATAATACATGTCATCTATGCACTTAAATAGCGAATGGAGGATGCTTTTCCCCGTGGTTTATTTTCATGCCAGCCAGGTAGGCTATACTCCTGTTGTAAATATAAGCAATGTGCGTAATATTTGGAAAGTTGAGAAATAAATATAGTAGGCCTAACCTATAGAAAGCTGATCCTCCTCTATTTTCTCACGCAATTGCATAGCCAATTGAAATGTTGCGCAACATGAGCTCATGGGCTCTCATGAAGTGTTTGATTAGATTTTCAAAATTATTTGCATTGATGTCAGAGTGATTCCAGGGACAATAGAGTGCTGAGTACCAGGTAATTAGCAAGTTTGGTAGGCTACTAATGACCATCAGCAGCATCAGAGCTTGGTGAAGCCTAATTACCGTGACTAAACAGTCACGTGGAATTTGACTGCCTTCATGACCGCCGGTGTGGCGGTAATACATTCACCGCAACAGCCCTAGGTGTGCCAATAGGTTTAATCTCATTCAATACTTATACAGAAGCAGTGATTACACAGCGAGTACCTGTGTTGTCTCGCAGTAACTGGTGGTCAGAGTCGCTGAGGCTGGAGGGTCCAGGGGAGCCCAGCACACTGCTAGGGGTCATGTAAGGGTCAGACTCCGGGTCGGCACTCTGGATTCCTTTCCAGGGCACTCCGGGCTGGAACTCTGTCACCGCAGAAACCACAGGGAAGACTACTGAGCTTGGCAATATTGACATTCTTTGCTACTGCAATGTTTCATATGTGCATTTAAATTGTGCATTGGGCACTTGGGGTACTGAAAGCAAGTTACCTGGGGGCCAGCTGGATGTCCCAGTCATGGTGCCCATCTTGCTTCCAGGGGTACGGTGCCAGTTGTCAGAGGGGCCCTGAGGGGGCATTCCCAAACCATCAACCCCAAGCAACTCATACTGTGAATATGGGGAGCCCCCTCGAACTTTCATGGGCATGGGTAAAGGACCTGCAATAGCACACAAGACAAAAACAGAAATACAAATCATTTTGGTCAGTTTGACATGTCATTTCCTTTTATGGCTTTATATTGGTATGATTATTCATGTCAATAGTATCTCAATAGCAAGCCATTGGATTTTAATGACTCACCATTCTTGTGTTGGGCTGTATCTGGGGGAGAGGGGGCCGGAGAGTGACCCTCCATCATCCATTTGAAGCGGGACTGCTGCCCTCCTCCCATCCTTCACCCCCCCCACCATGGAGCCCAGCTCCAGCCCAGACAGATTGCCTCTGGGAGCAAGCCCTGAGATACCGGGAAAAAACATGGTCAGATGTCACAGCCTGATGGTTCATTCAATGCAGTCATGAGCAAAGGTGATGGCTGTGTTGATAAAACTTGGGCCAGTGTAATCCCCCTGAAATCGAACACCACGGAATAGGGACTAGGTGATTTAAATGAAACACTTTCGTCACGGCAACAGTGATATATGAGCTACTGTTTACACAAATTAGTTGGACATGATTTAGTGATGCCTTGCCTTTGACCTCATACTGAGCAGACTGCTCTAAACTGACAAATTGGACTGAGATGTTGGAGAGATAATAACAAAGCCCAAACCTAAGCAACTTACCAGAGTACATCCCATGTGTTTTGGCATGAAGATCTGACAAGGGCCCACCCATACCAGGGTGGGGCATGGAGTCTGCCATCGGCTGTTTTGGTGCCCCTCCAAGATGAGATGGGGACAGTTTGGAGCTCCCACTGCCTCCGCCTACCCCTCCCTGTTGTTGCTGTCTCTGTTGTTGCAGAATAGCCATGATTCTAGCCAGCTAAGAAGAGAAAAGATTGAAAACTACATACACAACCAAAACACTGCATCAAGAGACTAACGACAAGCTGGTTAGCAAGCTACTACATGCTGAAAGTCTAGCACAACTATTGCATCTAATATTTAAATTAGTCTGAACTGCTATGTGTATAGTGATAAGGCACTACACTACTATGGGACGTTCAGTACCTGCTGTGGATCAGGCTGCTGGCGTATAGGCTGGGGCTGGGGGAACTTCCTCTGGTTCTGCAGGAGCTGCTGCTGCTGTTGCTGCTGCTGCTGCAGAAGGAGCTGACAAGCCTGGGGGGGTGGAGGAAGGTATGGGAGTTGGCAGGCATTGTAAGTAGTTTGACTATTGTATTCCACTGAGAGAGACAGTGTAGTAGCAGTTTTACAGTGGAATATTACTTGATATCCAATCCATACAAGATTCTTTGAAGTCAGAAGGAATTACTGAGCAACTTGGAAAATTGTGATAAAATGGTGCTGATTGCACAGACAGCCTGAACTACAACACCGAGGCAGAGACTATTTACCAGGTGGAACTGCTGCACATGGGGGTAAATGTTACTAAGCACGGCAAGTTGCTGTGGGGAGAGCTGAGGTGGGAACACCCCTCCGCCGACACCTCCAACACTGCTGCCAGGAGAGGGAACCTGCTTTAGCATAGGGCCCGGCACCTGCAATGTGAAATACAATAATTCAAAAATGAAGCATCAACATGTGTATTAGCATTGTGGACACTGGATAAAGAAAAATGCTCTCTTGGATATAGAATGTAGAGTTTTGTTAGACAACCTGGCCAATATTCCAAAATGGTGATCTAAGAAGGACAAGCTAGAAAATATATTGTTCTTGACTGTTATAGCACTTGCTCATACCCAACGTGGAACAACTTTCAAAATAAACAACATTAATATTCATGAGGTACACAGGTAACACACCTGAGCAGACAAGAATTGATGAGGCACTTGTCCGCGTAACCCTTGGGAAGGGTTCATGGGATGCATCCCAGGCTGGTGCATTCCCCGAGGCTGAGGCATCCCACCGCTGCCACCAAATACACCATGACCACCCATCTGGAATGATGGATATACAGAAGAGTACAGTTAAATATGAAATTATAAAAAGGAACAGTGAGAGCTGATAAAAGGAAAATATCTATAAAGTTAGTTGACAGAAAAAGGTAGTTGATGTTAGCTGGCTAGCTAATGATAACGTCAACATGTCTAGCCTCCTCCACCTAGGCCAATCGACGGACCATGCAAACATTGCTTAGCACAGCTTCTAGGGCACCTTGAACCCTTTGACAGGAGTATGACTCTAATACCTTGTCACTGTAAGGCCCCATGTCTCCAGGCCCCATGTCTTTGGAACTGGGCATACGGTAGCCTCCTCCACCTCTTCCTCCTCCGCATTTCACCGCTGTAGTCGTTCATCCCTCTCTTATCTCCTTCCAGCTTTTTATCAAGACTCAAGTCCTCGCCCTATTAAAAATAGTAGGAAGCATGAGTTTTTACTCACCAAAGTAACAACAGTGTGGTCAAAGACTTAGTAACTTAGTTGTAGTCACGATCTGGTTAACTACAAACATGGTTATGTTTTAGCGTTTAAAACATTTATTAACTTATTTAAGTATATCTTCGGAACTACCCATTTCTCAACATCATATGGAGAATCGGTGCTACCTAGCTAGTTCCAGCTGGCTAACGTTAGCTACTAGCTATGCTAGCATGTAATTACATTCCAAACCATGGTGAGATACTATGTAAATCCACGAAGACGACACATAAATTCATGCAAAGAACTGCAACGCATCTCCTCCTGTGTGTTTGGTGGAATATGGGAATCCACTGTATGCGGTGCTCATTTCACCCCGGAGGACTTCGATGGCTTAGTATAACCAGTGGAAGGCAGGATCCGGAATAAGACTGACTGAAACCAGGTGCTGTGCCGAGTGTTATTTGTGAAGCCTGCTAGCTCTATTTCAGGGTTCCCCAACTGGCAGCCTTATTTGGGCCAAGTTTTCTGAGCAAAAAACATTATACACATACATACACATATAAACTCAGCAAAAAAAGGAAAGTCCCTTTTTCAGGACCCTGTCTTTCAAAGATAATTCGTCAGAATAACTTCACAGATCTTCATTGTAAAGGGTTTAAACACGGTTTCCCATGCTTGTTCAATGAACCATAAACAATTAATGAACATGCACCTGTGGAATGGTCGTTAAGACACTAACAGCTTACAGACGGTAGGCAATTAAGGTCACAGTTATGAAAACTTAGGACACTAAAGAAGCCTTTCTACGGACTCTGAAAAACACCAAAAGAAAGATGCAGCGGCAGACCACGTGTAACAACACCTGCACAGGATCAGTACATCCGAACATCACACCTGCGGGACAGGTACAGGATGGCAACAACAACTGCCCGAGTTACACCAGGAATGCACAATCCCTCCATCAGTGCTCAGACTGTCCGCAATAGGCTGAGAGAGGCTGGACTGAGGGCTTGTAGGCCTGTTGTCAGGTCCTCACCAGACATCACCGGCAACAACGTCACCTATGGGCACAAACCCACCGTCGCTGGACCAGACAGGACTGGCAAAAAGTGCTCTTCACTGACGAGTCACGATTTTGTCTCACCAGGGGTGATGGTCAGATTCGCGTTTATCATCGAAGGAATGAGCGTTACACCGAGGCCTGTACTCTGGAGCGGGATCGATTTGGAGGTGGAGCGTCCGTCATGGTCTGGGGCGGTGTGTCACAGCATCATCGGACTGAGCTTGTTGTCATTGCAGGCAATCTCAATGCTGTGCATTACAGGGAAGACATCCTCCTCCCTCATGTGGTACCCTTCCTGCAGGCTCATCCTGACATGACAATGCCACCAGCCATACTGCTCGTTCTGTGCGTAATTTCCTGCAAGACAGGAATGTCAGTGTTCTGCCATGGCCAGCGAAGAGCCCAGATCTCAATCCCATTGAGCACGTCTAGAACCTGTTGGATCGGAGGGTGAGGGCTAGGGCCATTCCCCCCAGAAATGTCCGGGAACATGCAGGTGCCTTGGTGGAAGAGTGGGGTAACATCTCACAGCAAGAAAACTGGACTGGCAAAATCTGGTGCAGTCCATGAGGAGGAGATGCACTGCAGTACTTAATGCAGCTGGTGGCCACACCAGATGCTGACTGTTACTTTTGATTTTGACCCCCCCCCCTTTGTTCAGGGACACATTATTCCATTTCTTTATGTCATATGTCTGTGGAACTTGTTCGTTTATGTCTCAGTCGTTGAATCTTGTTATGTTCATACACATATTTACAAAATAAACGCAGTTGACAGAGTGAGGACGTTTCTTTTTTTGCTGAGAAATATACACACACACACAGTACCAGTCAAAAGTTTGGACACCTACTCATTCAAGGGTTTTTCTTTATTTTCTACATTGTAGAATAATAGTGAAGACATCAAAACTATGAAATAACACATCTGGAATCATGTATTAACAAAAAAAGTGTTTTATATTTGAGATTCTTCAAATAGCCACCCTTTGCCTTGATGACAGCTTTGCACACTCTTGGCATTCTCTCAACCAGCTTCACGAGGTAGTCACCTGTAATGCATTTCAATTAACAGGTGTGCCTTCTTAAAAGTTCATTTGTGGAATTTTTTCCTTCTTAATGCGTTTGAGCCAATCAGCTGTGTTGTGACAAGGTAGGGGGGTATACAGAAGATAGCTCTATTTGGTAAAAGACTAAGTCCATATTTTGGCACGAACAGCTCAAATAAGCAAAGAGAAACGACAGTCCATTATTTTAAGACATGAAGGTCAGTCAATACGGAAAATTAAGAACTTTGAACGTTTCTTCAAATGCAGTCGCAAAAACCATCAAGCGCTATGATGAAACTGGCTCTCATGAGGACCGCTACAGGAATGGAAGACCCAGAGTTACCTCTGCTGCAGAGGATAAGTTAATTAGAGTTACCAGCCTCAGAAATTGCAGCCAAAACAAATGCTTCAGTGTTCAAGTAGCATACACATCAACTGTTCAAAGGGGACTGTGTGAATGAGGCCTTCCTGGTCGAATTGCTGCAAAGAAACCACTACTAAAGGACACAAATAATAAGAAGAGACCTGCTTGGGCCAAGAAACACGAGCAATGGACATTACACCGGTGGAAATGGGTCCTTCGGTCTGGAGTCCAAATTTGAGATTTTTGGTTCCAACCACCGTGTCTTTGTGAGACGCAATGTGGGTGAACGGATGATCTCTGCATGTGTATTTCCCTGGTGTTATGTTGTGGGGGTGCTTTGCTGGTAACACTGATTTATTTAGAATTCAAGGCACGCTTAACCAGCATGGCTACCACATCATTCCGCAGCGATACGCCATCCCATCTGGTTTGGGCTTAGTGGGACTATCATTTGTTTTTCAACAGGACAATGACCCAACACACCTCCAGGCTGTGTAAGGGCTATTTTACCAAGAAGGAGAGTGATGGAGTGCTGCATCAGATGACCTGGCCTCCACAATCACCCGACATCAACCCAATTGAGATGGTTTGGTATGAGTTGGACCGCAGAGTGAAGGAAAAGCAGCCAACAAGTGCTCAGCATATGTGGGAACTCCTTCAAAACTGTTGGAAAAGCATTCCAGGTGAAACTGCTTGAGAGAATGCCAAGAGTGTGCAAAGCTGTCAAAGGCAAAGGGTGGCTATTTGAAGAATCTCAAATATATTTTGATTTGTTTAACATTTGTTTACTACATGATTCCATATGTGTTATTTCATAATTTTGATGTCTTCACTATTATTCTACAATGTAAAAAATAGTAAAAATAAAGAAAAACCCTTGAATGAGTAGGTGTGTCCAGACTTTTGACTGGTAGTATATATATATTTATTTATTTATTTATTTGTATTGTTCATTGTTGGACATAAGACTAAAAATACCAGTAAAACAGTTCCAAATGATTTAAAAAATTGGAAATCTGTTCAAGTATTCCCACGCATAATAAAGAGACACGTGATCGTATAAAAATGTAAGCACGGTTTGAAATGATTATGTTTTAGTCAAACATTATATCGGTTTGGGCTTATCGTGGTCAATTTGCAGTCTACAAATTATTTGTAATTATGTTCCGGCCCCCCGACCATCCACTCAAGAAAAAAATTAAATAAATCGTCCCGCGGCTGAATCTAGTTGATGATCTCTGCTCTATTTCCTACCGGTACATAGTGTCAGCAGTGATGAGATAAACCGTGTAAATTCAATGTAGATTTACCTCACTATATCGCTATTCGATTAGCTAGCGGACTCTCCCTCTGAAGTCCTCTCCTTGTCTCTTTGATAGCTAACTCAGCCGTCAATTGTTAAGTCTCCACTCTGGCTTTTTTGTCATGTACTGTGGGTTCCTCCCCGTGCTAGACTAGTTGTTCTCTGGCTTACTACTTAGCCATGTCGGCCGTGGTGATTGGCTAGCTAGGCTAGTTAGCCGGCTAGGCTAGCTAGCAGGCTAAAATTACTAACTTTTTAAACTGGCTTGTTATGAACTGCATATACTGCTAACATTACTTGATAACTGGTTAGATGGCATTATGTATTTCCAAAACTTTGGTTTACTTTAATGTAGCTGTAAGCTAGGTGTTGACAGCAACTGGCTGACTCAAGCAGTGCTAACCAATGTTCCCTCCAAGACTGCAGCACAGCTCCCCCGGGACTGCTGCGCAGAAATATCAGCCCACAGAGAGAAGCAGAGCAGTGGTCACCAACCGGTCGATCGCCAAGGCATTACTAGTCGATCGCCAAACATTTCTGTAAAAGACCCAACGATAAAGCGTTGTGTTCCTTTTTTTTTTTTTGTTTCGTCTCGGGCTGTTGGTGGTAGGTGCACCCGATTCAGCTGGTCAGCGCGCCGGGTAGGCAAACTGTTGCCATTTTGAACCATTTCATGTGTCTGAAGGTACAAACTCAGCCTTCCCGGCGGGCCCAGAGAGCAAATCAAGTGCACTATAGGCCTACCGCTGGCCAATCGGATGGCTCAGATGACCGTGTCTACAGTAACGTAGCAGGCATAAAAGGAAACTACAGCAAAGTTGATACTGTGAGATTTCAAAACGTTTAAAACCATGACTAGCGAGAGACTCAACGAATACAGCAAAAGAGATTGTTTTTATGAGTGAGTTCATATTTAAGTTCTTACCTCAGCGCTGTCAACACTTTGTATTCAACACTTTTACAAGCCATAAAATGAGCGTTCTTCCCATTTCCACTCAGCTCTACAACAAGCACTGCAGCAGTAATGGATGAGTAGGAAAGTATCTGTAGGCTTGCGTTATTTTTAGCGGCTTAGGTCGTTTTTAATATCGAGGAATATTTCACTCTGTTCATAGGAGTAACATGAATTTGTGCAATTATGCGGTGCGACTCCAGTTTCGCCATCAGCTGGAAGACGGTGTCCCTTTTTGGTCAGTGTCAGTGGAGGAAATGGAGAGCGGAGGGATGTTGAGAGGCGGACCCTCAGTCTGCTGCTCTCTCCCTCCGCTGAGACTGACCATCAGATGCAGGCACCATCAGCCCAGTAAAATAAAATGTCAATGCTAATTATTTAAATGTATGCTCACTCAGCTGTGCCTCAAGTAATACAACAACGGATCTATTACCGGTGTGCTCATACAGCCTACCTCAAAAATGTCCCAAACAACAATGCAATGGCAGGGCAATTCAAGCAAAGCCAATATGTGGTGATAATGTATTGGGCCTATAGCTTACTGCACAAACCTGATTGCTACAGTAATGTTTTTAATTGGTTAATGTTGCATAGGCTTACGTTTTAAATACGTTTTTATTTTATTTTTATCTGAGCGGTAGATTTCGGCTTACATCTTGACTCAAAAAAGGTTGGTGACCACTGTGTGTCTAGAGTTTTCCCTGTTAACACTATCAACGTTTCCCTTTACTGTGGCAATTGTGATCAACGCAATATTAGCCGCTTCAATGCAACATACCAAAACAAAAACGAACTATGTAAGAGATTTTGTTGTAGGCAGAACGCATTGGAGTAGAATTCTATTGCATTGACACGCACTACTCAGCCCGTACCAGTGCGACATAAATCAGAACTGCAGTAGCTCTATAGGCAAATAGACCATTGCCATATATAGATCTGTGCCATTTACTTTGAACTGGACTGTGTTTACAGCATGAGCGGTCATGAGTAGATGGGCTTGTTTTGAGATCAAAGCGAGAGCTGCATGTTGCCACATTTTGTTCATATCCTTTGCTAGTTAGTGAGTTATTAGCCCAGTTATAGATCATTTGTAGTCAGCAATAGAAGAGTGATTGCTTCCAACAAGAGCACAAAACGACACAGGCTGGAATAAGCTAAGTAGCCAATAGGCAGAAGGTTTGCATTATAGGGAATAGGCTGCCTTGCCGGGTCCTCCATATTATGTCACACCCCTCAAATGTTTTTTCCGGCATGACTTCGGCATTCTGATCAGTTTTATGTAATAACTTGAAAAACAGAAAAACTGAGGTGAAACTTTGCATTGGGACTTTTGATGCGTATTCTAATGCAAATCCATATGTTACATGTGGTTATGTTTATGCTACCTACCCTTCAACAGATAAAATGCATCATCACCATCCTTTCTTCCGAGACATAAAAGGGCTTACCATGAGTCCCATATTTTGGAATTGTCGTGTCATGGGGTTCATCCAGTGGTCTCCACCTCCACCCTTTAGGGAACAAAACACACAATGTAGCGAAACATAATCCCTCAATCAGAAAGATATCTTTCATAGATCAACAGATTAGGACATAAAAACAAAATTGAGCAAGCAGACCCTAATCACAACATACCTTGAGGTTGCCTCGCCTTCCCCCGGGGCCTTGCCCCCAGCCACCAGAGTTGTAGTTGCTGCTGCCCTGGGAGCCTGTGCTGTTCCAAACTCCACCAACGTCCTCCTCCTCATCCCAGCTGGAGTGTCGAGAGGCTGGAACAGGGCCCTCTCCTTTGCCCCAGCTCTCTTGCACTGACTTTGAGCCTATGGGACATGCAGAGAGGGGTCATGCAATGTCCTAAGGAGCAACAACCAACAACACGTTTGCCTTACAATGAAAACTAATTGAAGTGTCTCACCAGATTTGGATGAGGGGTTTCCCCAACCAGCGGCTTTGCTTGAGTCGTCTGGGTCTCCCCAGCCAGATGGTGCGTCAGAAGTCTGCCCCCAGGAAGCAGTGCCATTATCCACAGATTGTCCAGCGAGGTTGCCACCCCCTCCCCACATACCTGGGCCTAGTAATACAGAGAATACCAGATTAAGAAAATCTGCCGGATATTCACATTTTTGGCAATTGAAGGAAAAAATCTGGCATCTCTTACCCATTCCAGGTTCATTGCCAGGGTTTGAGTCCCGGTTAGCTGGGATCCCAGGCTGTCTCCTTGGTGGTGGCTGTTGTACGGATGTTGGTGGACCCTGTTGAGCATGGCCTTGAAGTGGCGGTGGCTGACCAGAGGGGGCACTGTTTTTATCCCACAGGTTCACATTCTTGCTGTTGTAGCAGGTGGGATCGCCCCAGGCAGAAGTGCCATCGTCAATCTCCATCTTGCGGCTGATGGACTGAGGGGAGGGCTCCTCCCAACCGCTGGGCTCAGGAGCCTCAGCAGGCCCAACGGGGATCTGAGGGATGGGGCCAGCAGTCCAGCCTGAGCTTTGGTTCTGATTCTGGGTGGGAGGACCTCCTGACCTGCCTAAGCCTCCTGGTGGCTGTTGGGTCTGTGATTGGTGTTGCTGTTGATTTGGGGCTTTCAGTGTTGCCGCTTGGCTGTTTGGTATCTGTGCCGAATGCGGCTTCATGCTCCAGTCCTGGTGCGGTTTGCCACCCATGTCACCTCCACCTCCCGAACCCCTCTGTGGGCCTCCCTCATCTAGGTTACCCCAAGACCCCTTGTCCGTGTTGCCTCCACCTCTGCCCCTCCCTTCCCCCCAGCCTCCACTGACTGTCTTGGGTTCACGCTGCATCCAGTCGCCTCCCCCTCCCCCTCTTTGTCCCCATCCCTCCCTACCCATCTCTTTCCAACCCCCTGCAGTCCCTTTCTCCTCCTGACCACCTCCCCAGCCACTCCCTCTTCCGCCACCCTGTTCTCCAAAATCTCTCCAGTTACTTCCACCGCCCCCTCTGCGGTCCCTCCCCTCCTGCTCCTCATTGCCCCAGCCTTTGTCTTGGCTCTTTGAAGTACTGATGTCGCCCCAGCCTCCACTCGTCTTTCCCTGGCTGCCATCAATATCTTCCACTGGCGTCCTAGAGGCAGCAGAATTCTGCATGTTGGATGGTGGAGCACAGTCATCCCAGCCACCCCTTGAAGGTACAGGGCCAGGACCAGTGTTCATAGTAGGCATGTGGGCCCCAGCAGATGGATCAGTAATTGCGCTGTTGCTTGCGGGGTAAGTAGAAGCCCGACCAGTAGAATTCACGGCTTGAGATGGAAATGCAGGGGAACTGCTTCCCTCACTTCGACTGGCTGCTCCTGTATCCAGGTCCCAGGCCACATTCTGCTGTACCTGGGTCTGCCCCCATCCGGTGTTGGACAGCACCCTGGGATCCAGGTCCGGCCGGCTGAGCATGCTCTGTAAGGCCACTTCAGGGTTGGGGGGTGGGTTGCTGGATCGGTGGCGGGAATGCTCCTGGTGCCGATTGTGACTCCCAGCCCTGGACCCTCCTCCACTGGAGGATGAGGGGCCTCCACTTCTTCTGCCACCTTGGCCTGCCCATTCCCCCACCACTCCGTCGTCAGCATCAACCCCTTTCTGATTGTCCCAAGCTCTTGTCATAGTAGCAAACGTTGGTGAGGCAGAGTCCTGGGATATGCCGCCACCACCGCCTCCGCTACCTCCACTGCTGCTGCTCTTGCTGCTCCCGCCTCCACCGCTACTTCCTATTGCTGGGTTGCTGGAACCCCTGACACCTGTCGACCCCTGTGTACCACCCCAACCCTCCTCTGTACCCCCATCCCATGCTCCCTGAGATACCACTGGGGTATTTGAGCTAACATCATTTCCCCTGACCCATGCCTCATCTCCTGCCAACCCTGCTTTCTCACCTTGGCTGCCGAAGTCCCACACGTTTGCCTCCTGCCCCTGAGCTGCATCTCCCCCTTCTCTGTCCCACCCGTCAGTCTTAGAGGCACCTGTGTTGAGGTTAGAGGAGGAGGGAGGCAAGGCTCTCCATGAAGAGGAAGAGGTTGTGGAGGAGGACGAAGAGGCAGAGAGATTCCCGCTCCCTCCAACAACCCCACTGTCCACAAGATCTCTGCCTCCTTGATTTGGTCCTGCTCCGAGCTCCGGCCCCAAGCCCCCCCAATCCCCATGAAGATGCTCTCCATCCCTGCCAGGCATTTCATGGAGTTGGTGCTGATGGATAGCTTGATTCACAGAGGAGAGTGGATGAGTATGTGTGGTACTGGCAGAGAAGGAGGTTGTCATGGATGAGGGCACAGCTTCGGTGGTAGCTGCACCAACCCCTGTCGTTCCATCCTGCACAAGGGCAGGCCAGGCTGAAGGGTTGGCATTAGGGTTGAAGTTGGCACCAGGAATCCCACTGTTCACACTAAGAGGGCTCTCCTGAGTCCCAGGAAGAGAGGAGACTTTGGAATTGTAGAGCACTGGCCCCTCTGCTGTTGCTGCCGCGGCCCCTCCCATTCCAGGCTGACTGGAAGAGCCCCACACGACACCAGACAGGACACATTCAGTGAGTGACGAGGGGGAGGAGTGGGGTGGGGAGGGACTGTCTGAACTCCCAGCTCCTGCTCCTCCTGGCCTCAGCTGCTGTTGGGTGCATTTGTCACTCCGTGAGGCACTGATGTTGTTGGGGCCATTCAGCTCTGCTCCCTCGGTACCCGCTCTGCCCCCACCCACAATGCTGGGCCACTCCTCAAGGTCACTCCCATCCACTATCACCTTCTCCCAGCCCTGAGAGGGGTGCTGGCTGCCAGAGCCCACCCCCCATGTGGAATTTGCATAAGTTGAAGTAGAAGAAGCAGCGACTGAAGATGAGGGTGAGGAGTGAGGGGGTGAAGGAGAAGGTGAACCCAGATTGGGATCTGTAGAAAATGAGCAAACATACTTTGTTAACTTGAGGACCGTGTTTGGTTTAAAACAGCATGTTAATTACACTTGGACGAATATTCACTCTGCTGCCGACTTCAGATCCAAACCACATTTTTTCATTTCAATGTTGACCCACCTGTGGCTCCAGATGTGGTTGCATTGGGGGCCTCTCCCTGTGAAAGGGGGGGTGTGTCTCCCCTACCGCTGCCTCCCCCCAGCAGCATGCAGGACAGTGGTGGCTGGCCCCTCTTCAGAAGCACTTTGTGGTCCTGCTGGCAGCGGAATCGTGGGGGCACCTCTCTGGGCATGTAGCGCTGAGTGGGCTGAGTTCCGGTGGGGGGCTGTCCGTTGGCCACAGCCGTCCGGTTTGCATTGTTCCCGCCCGGAGGAACAACGAACCCAGCTGCAGGGCAGGGGGACGATGGTGGAGCGGGGCCAGGGCTGGGAGACACAGAGCCAGGAGTGGCTAGTGACTGCGTGGAGGAGGGCTTAGTTGATTCTGGCACTTAAGGAAAATGAAAAGAATGAACCAAGTCAATAAAGTCAAAGCTGCTCAACATTGGAATGCATCCTAATCATAATGCTATGCAACATAATTTAACTTGAATATTTCCTCTCATCATTATCTTGGTTGATGAAAGGAAGGGGTGTTACAAATGCTGTATATACAGGACTACATACAACAAAAACATACCTTTGACTTTTTGTTCAGTCACCTGAAAGTACAGAAGACTGTCAGTGCCATGAAACAGCCCACAGATTATCGTAATGAATGTCAAGCGCTAATACCACAAGCACCTATGGAGTGCAGGCCAAGTAAATAATTATTGCCGTCACGACTTCAACTAGAACACAGCCGGAACAGTGTGGCTCTGACTTTCAATGGGCCATGGAACTGGATCAAATAATTCTGTTTTGAGTAACATACCAGAGCACTCTGAATTATGTAGGCCTAATTTCCAGATGAAAAGTTGATATTATATCATGTACCTTCTGGGAAGCTTCCCTTTTCTTTTTATCCTCTTTCTTCTTTTTCTTGTCTTCCATGAACGGCTGTTCCCTTTCCTGATTCTCCTATCTGGAACACAATTAAATGGATGTGGGCATTGCTATTGGGCAATAGGAATCAACATCGAGTTAAATACATTTTCTGCAACTTGCCTAAAACGTTTTATCAACAGTTTATCAAAATGAACTCTTACACAATTAGTTAATGTCAGAACTATAGTAATAAGCAGACAACCTTGGCAAAAGTCTGTGGTAGCCACCCTGAATTATTCATCTGAAAGCAAACGATTACAACTCCAACCAACATGCAACACATGCACACCAACAGAGAGGCAATGTAAGACTGGGCAGTACCTGACTGGTCGATAAAAGAGAACCCGTTTGCTAGTAGAAATATGTAATTATCACGTAGGCCAAGGCCTAGCGAGCTAGTAGAGATGGCGAGAAGGTGAGTGTGTGCAGGATAGAGCGAGCTAGTTGGCTAGATAGGTCAGGTGTCACGGGGTGGCATTTAGTTTTAGACCCCCGTTTGACTCAGCTTTACAAAAGCGCTCCACTGAAAACGCTAGTAAGCTGAAAATGTGGGGTCTTTTGAGTGTATGTATGGGAAACAAAAACAAAGCAAGTTCGCGCTATGGAAGGCATTTTGGCAATTTGAACAAGAGCTTGTCCAAATTGCGAAGTAGTAGTCTGTAAATACAATTTAAGGACAGCAGTAAAGTTTGTCAGATAAAAATAATTAGCTAGCAATCTAATGTTAGAGTAAAAACTAGCTATTTATTGACTAGTTAAACCATGTTATATGTGGATCTAAAGCAGCATTTAATAAAAAAAGAATTCCCATAATAGCTAGCTACATTAGCTATGCTAGCTAGTGCCACTTAATACAAATCAGCTAGCTAGCTAGTAGAAGCTTGACTGGGGGTCTCGCTCTGACGTTTGCAAAGGCCTATTCCAGCCTCGAGCTCGAGTACAGAGAAGCCCCAAGCTGGACACCCGGTAGCGGTGGACTTGAAAAACGGACGAAACAGACTCCCCGTGAATAAAGTCACGCAACGACCCAAAAGTGTGTTAACCTAGCTAGCTAAATCGTCAAAATAATAGACATAAACTAGCTGTAAGATAGCGCTTTCGTGCGAGCGACTTTGACGTCGTTAACTACCGCTCCAAAAAGGTAAAGCCATGTAACTGGGGAACACGACGTACAACTGGCTTGCTAACCAGCTCCCATAGCTAAGCGCCATGCATAAAAATAACAACAAATACAAAATATAATAAATAAAAATACCCATACATTACATCGGCTACACAGATATACAGTTACCTAGCTGAGAACTCCGTGCCTAACGAAAATAGTTGTGCAATTTTTTAATTGAATTGATTGAGTTTCTCAAATAATTCATGCATACACACTAGACAACAATACTGCTTCATAGCATAACTTGTCTGTACAATCAACTGTCATTTCTGGACTGAAGTGACTGAAAAGGCCAAAGAAGCTACGATAAAACTTCGGTGACGTTCTCTGTAGCTAGCTAGATGGCTAACGCTAACTAGCTGTCGCTTATAACGTATGAAACGTAACAAGGTAAGAAAAAACCCAATAGCACACATATTTTACAACTCTGTAATAAACAACATAATGTTACAAAGTGTGAAATGTTTTAGTTACTCACCTCAGGAATCACACACAACATAAAGTACTTTATGAAATTCTTGCAGACCTAGTTAGCTAACGCTAGCTTAGCAATCTAACGGTAGTTCGAGGCTTTCAAGGCTAAACCGAATAAAAAATAACATCACCAAAAGGCGAAATGTTCATAATAGCCATATTCAGTTAACGTATAACCTTTCGGACGACTGTAGTTTTCGCTGTAAACTACACATGCATAACCTCTTGGTGGTTGCAAAGCGCTGTGAGATCGGTTAGTTTACTATCGGCCATTTTGCTTCTCTGTGCAGCTGTGTTGTTGACCAGAGGGAGGGATGGGGGGGCTGGATGCATATCTGCACTCTGCAGCAAGGGGGCGTATTCTCTCCCAGGCGTGACGTCATTTACATCCAATTAGCCAGAGTGTTATCAGAGATGACACAAAGTTGTAAGCCAAAGCAACAGTACAGCGCCATAGCTAGACAGTGGAAACTGAACTACCTCTGCCGTAACTCAGTGAACTTAGATATTGCACAAAAAAACGATTCAAAAACCTAGTCCATTCTCATCTTTGATTTACATTCAGCTCCTGAATGAGAATAAGTATAATCAATGCATTCCCTCTTCAATTCAATTTCAATTTAAGGGGCTTTTATTGGCATGGGAAACATGTGTTTACATTGCCAAAGCAAGTGAAATAGATAATAAACAAAAGTGAAATAAACACTAAAGAATTAAAAGTAAACATTACACTCACAAAAGTTCCAAAATAATAAAGACATTTCAAATGTCATATGTCTATATACAGTGTTGTAATGATGTGCAAATAGTTAAAGTACAAAAGGGAAAATAAATAAACATAAATATAGGTTGTATTTACAATGGTGTTTGTTCTTCACTGGTTTCTTGTGGCAACAGGTCACTAATCTTGCTGATGTGATTGCACACTGTGGTATTTCACCCAATAGATATGGGAGTTTATCAAAATTGGATTTGTTTTCGAATTATTTGTGGGTCTGTGTAATCTGAGGGAAATATATGTCTCTAATATGGTCATACATTTGGCAGGAAGTTAGGAAGTGCAGCTCAGTTTCCACCTCATTTTGTGGGCAGTGTGCACATAGCCTGTCTTCTCTTGAGAGCCAAGTCTGCCTTCGGCAGCCTTTCTCAATAGCAAGGCTATGCTCACTGAGTCTGTACATAATTAAAGATGTCCTTAATTTTGGGTCAGTCACAGTGGTCAGGTATTCTGCCACTGTGTACTCCCTGTTTAGGGACAAATAGCATTCTAGTTTGCTCTGTTTTTTTGTAAATTCTTTCCAATGTGTCAAGTAATTATCTTTTTGTTTTCTCATGATTTGGTTGGGTCTAATTGTGTTGCTGTCCTGGGGCTCTGTGGGGTCTGTTTGTGTTTGTGAACAGAGCCCTAGGACCAGCTGGCTTTGGGGGCTCTTCTCCAGGTTCATTTCTCTGTAGGTGATGGCTTTGTTATGGAAGGTTTGGGAATTGCTTCCTTTTAGGTGGTTGTAGAATTTAACGGCTCTTTTCTGGATTTTGATCATTAGCGGGTATCGGCCTACTTCTGCTCTGCATGCATTATTTGGTGTTTTACGTTGTACACGGAGGATATTCTTGCAGAATTCTGCATGCAGTCTCAATTTGGTGTTTGTCCCATTTTGTGAATTCTTGGTTGGTGAGCGGACCCCAGACCTCACAACCATAAAGGGCAATGGGTTCTATAACTGATTCAAGTATTTTTAGCCAGATCCTAATTGGTATGTCAAATTTTATGTTCCTTTTGATGGCATAGAAGGACCTCCTTACATTGTCTCTCAGATTGTTCACAGCTTTGTAGAAGTTACCTGTGGCGCTGATGTTTAGGATGAGGTATGTATCGTTTTTTGTGTGCTCTAGGGCAACGGTTTCTAGATGGAATTTGTATTCGTGGTCCTGGCAACTGGACCTTTTTTGGAACACCATTATTTTTGTCTTACTGAGATTTACTGTCAGGGCCCAGGTCTGACAGAATCTGTGCAGAAGATCTAGGTGCTGCTGTAGGCCCTCCTTGGTTGGGGACAGAAGCACCAGATCATCAACAAACAGTAGACATTTGACTTCAGATTCTAGTAGGGTGAGGCCGAGTGCTGCAGACTGTTCTAGTGCCCTCACCAGTTCGTTGATATATATGTCATCATACCTTTTCCAGAACACAATGTATTCTCTGTATCATAAGACTGACCTCAAAATCCCAGCGTCATCTGACTTATTGATACTCTCTTGTTATATAACATTTCCAGCATGTTGTTGTTTTTCTCTTTTGTAGCCTAATGGCGTCCGCATGCTTCACAGCCGAAACAGTTCAGAACAGTTCCTGCATATATTATGATGACATTTTGTGATGTTTTTGTTTGTTTTGGACTTCGGCAAGGTTTTTTTCGGTTGTTCGGGTACACCATTTTTTTCTATCAAGGCAAGCGGAACTCGGTCGCCGAAGTCTACGCCCCTTCGTCGGTGATTGGTCAACAGCAGGGATACTTCAATGAAGTGCGGACTCATCGAGAGACGAACTCTTTTTGGTGGGCATATTTCTTCGCCAAGCACCCGTCACTAAGCTGTTTTTTGTGGAGGAGTCCGTAATCAGGAATGACGTCGGGCGATTGGGGACTATGTGGCGGACCACATTTTTTCCGATGGAAGACGCAGGCCAAGATGTCGACACAAGTCCAGAGGATAGAATAGACGCCAGAAGGAGCAATGAAGAGGTCATTGTGGACTGTGAAGCCGAGGATAGAATAGACGCCGGAAGGGAAAGGAGGGGGGAAATGGAGTCCTTTGAGAAGGCAAGAAATAGATATTGGTCAGGAGAAATGCAGTATTATCATAAGGAGACGTATACTTGGATGAATGAGGAGGAATGGCGGGAAAAAGAGAGGCAGAGGAGGTCTAAGAGAGAGGGAGGAAGACTGTGAGTTTGAGTCGGTAAAAAATGGCGGGGAGAAGGTTTGTTAAAGAAGAGTGGTAGGAAATGAAAGCAAAGTGAGCTGAAGACAGGAGTATAAATGGAAGAGGGTGACCTATCGGAGGTGGTAGGTGTGGTGAAGTGCTTGGAGCCAGAGGCTTGCGCAGAGGGTCAGGATAAAGATGAGTCTGTGACAGTAGGAGTGAAGTTTGTGGAAAAAGTGGATCCTTGCCTTTTGGCTGATCCATTTGTGGTTTCAAGATGGGTGAAAAAAGCGTTGGGTATAGTGGAATCGGTGAGGGTAACCAGAAGTGGTCTAGTGATAATTGTTTGTGTTTCGTTGGGCAGAGGGAGAAGGCGCTCAGAGTTAATCAAATGGGGGAAAGAATTGTGAATTGTTTCGCTCTTAAGAAAAGGGCGCCATTGAGAGGAGTGATGACGGGGTAGCAGTAAATGTAAAAGTGGATCAACTGAAGGAGAAGATTCCCGGTGTGTGTGATGCTCGTCGTTTGGTGCGACGTAAACAGGGTGGCGAGAGTGGGGAAACAGAAGAGTCATTGTCTGTTCTTTTGAGTTTTGAAGTTGAGTCTTTGCCGGATAAAGTGAAGTTAAGATATATCAATTATCCTGTGCGAGCTTATGTGCCGAGTACATTACGATGTTACAGGTGTCAAACTTATGGGCATGTGGCAGCAGTATGTAGGAGGGAGATTCCAAGGTGTGAGAAGTGTGCAGAAGGGCATGAGACTAAGGAGTGTGAAGCAGTGGGGAAAGTGGTGGTATGTGCTAATTGTAGGGGTGGCCATGGGGCTGGGGATCAGACATGTCCAGTGCGAGAGAGGCAGGTTGAGGTTTCCAGGGTAAGAGTAGAGAAGAAGTTGTCATATGCGGAGGCAGTGGAGAAAGTAGAGGAAGAGGGGTCAAGGGGGGGAGTGGTGAGAGTAGGAGATGTATACCAGTACAGTGGGATAGGCAAGCAAGTGATATATGTTTCAGTAAGATTGGGTTTTTAGCGTTTATAGCAATGGTTATTCATTGTACTGCAGGAATGGAACGCAAATCGAAGAAAATTGAGGTTGTGGTGGCAGCTGCAGAGGTATTTGGGTGTGCGAGACTTGACAGCAGAAGAGTTACAGGGAGTGTTAAGTGGTGATGTCCCATAATTTCAGGTTGAGGGCATGAGGTAGGAGTGAGTATATTTAAATAGTGGAGAAGGGTGGGGTTAATTATTATTAGTAGTTTTGAAGTTGTGAGTGTAGTGTTAGATGGTAGGATATTTCTTTGCTTTGTTTTATGTTATTTTTCAAGAAAAGATAAGGGAGATGTACTCCAGTCTAGTAGGTGGCGGTAATGCAACAAATCGGATGCCAACCCCCGTTAAACCTCATTGAAGAAGAAGAAGAAGAATTGAGAGACGAAAGGGAGCTCTGAAGCGGAAAAAGATGGCGGAAGCGGACAATGAAGTGGATTCTGAATCCAATGGCGGTAGAATCAAGGAGAATTGGAGTATTGTTCAAAATAATGGAAAACGGAGCAAAGTAGTGTACAGTGATGAGAATTATTGAGTTATGCTGCGTTCAAAACAACTGGGAACTCCCCAAAAAATGAGCTCAGACGGGAAAAATCGATTTCAACGGTCATCCAACTCGGAATTCCATCTTGGGAACTCGGGGCTCTTTCTAGAGCTCTGACTTTCCAACCTTAAGATCACTGATGTCATGATTTGACCTCGTATTTTTCTGAGTTCCCAGTTGTTTTGAACTCGCCATTATTATACCTCTGCGATATCATCCTAAGAGCCAATTTATGCTTGATCCGAAAATGTGGTCGGAGGCGCCGTATGGATGGTGTGCCACAATTGCGGAGTCTCCATAGGCATGCAGAGGTCAAATTGAGCTCTGTACTGCATCACCATGCACCTCTCAAATTATGTAACAATGCGGAGGGTTGATTGGTTGACAGTAGATGAGTGCGGGAGGTCCTGTATAAACACAAACTCACTTCCTTGACAACTTCCTTCACAACAGCTCTGGGCTGCTCTGCAAAGCGCAAAAAGTATGTTTGCTCTGACTTCTGCGGAGGCCACATCGCAGTAAATGCTGTATGGCCAATGCAGATGTATTGACCATGCAGCGCCTTTAAGGTCCGACTTTCTGACCTGAAGATAACTGATGTCACGATTTGACCTCGTTTTTTCCCCAAGTTCCCAGTTGTCTTGAAAGCAACATTCTAAAGGCCAACATTTTCCTAACCATAAAGCAGTCCTAAGTTTTTGCTTTATTTTTTAGAATAACTTTCAAAAGCTAATGTATTGTGACTAGTGACCGAAGGCAAATGTAGGCAAATCCCAACTACTAATAGTAATGTCTTTGGGTGTTAGAAAAGCGCTATACAAATTCCATGTATTATTATGAATTATTCAAGAATTAAAAAATATGCTCTATTAACTAATGAAGGTTGTTTAATGCTGATGTTTAGCATAGGTAGACAAATATAACGTTACAACATAAAGACACATTACTACTGAGCTTGTAACAATTGAAGGTTCAATTCATCATATGAACATGAAACTTCATATTTTATGTGGTAGAACTAGGTATCTAAATGGGTGTGTGTGAAATGTATCTTTAATTGTATCAAATTTAGCTTAGTAAAACAATAACACTGGGTGATAACATTGAGATCTATTGGAGCCTTTCCAACTCAACCCACAGCAGTGCTTTCTGCTGGCTGTGGATGACATTGCGTATGGCAAGCAGCAGATCGTCGGTGCAGCTCCAGGTGTTGGGTTCCAAAGTGTGGTAGAGCAGGGGCAGGGTCTCTAGCTGCAGCTCGTCCGCCTGACACACCTCCTCCATCACACCATCCTCCCCTCTCCCGGTCAGCAACTTCCTGTCAATGGGCCAAAATAGATAGACTTTAATAATATAATAATTATATGCCATTTAGCAGATGCTTTTATCCAAAGCGACTTACAGTCATGTGTGCATACATTTTTACTACTGTTTCTAAATTGGATTAGAGAACAGAAAACTACAAAAATAGAATAACTTATGATGCTAAAAGTGTATTGAAAACACACACAAATACAGACAGCCAGTCACTTACTTTAGCTTCTTGTGTTTTTTGTTCTTGGGTGGGATATTAATGACGATAGGGTAGACTTCCTGCCTCAGAAGGCCCTCCACACTGCTCAGGCCCAGCTCCAACAGACAGTGCTTGTCCTGAGAGACAAGACACAGAGACCGATATGGGAGAGGTAATCCACTGGGCACAAACATCATTTCAACATCTAGTTTTGATTTATATTTGGTTGAGTTGTCAACTAATGTAAATTCAACGTGAAATCAACAAAAAATGTCACCATGTCATTGGATTTAGGTTAAATGTTTGGTGAAAAAAAGAAATTCCCTTACATTGATGAATTTTTTCAAATCCAATCATTTTCCCCAAGTTGATTCAACGTCATTACATAACATTTTCTCATTGAAATATCGTGGAAGCAACATTGACTCAACCAGTTTTTGCCCAGTGGGAAGTGTTTGTTTGTGTGTGTGAGAGAGAGAGAGAGAGAGAGAGAGAGAGAGAGAATGAATGAAAGAGTGTATACCTGGCTTATTACATCCTGAATAGACTGCAGCCTGATCCCAAGAGCCTGCTCTGGGGTGGAAGCATCTAGCAGGAAAACACTCTTATCATTTCTCTCTGTGGCCTGGATTGGCTCTGAAATACATCACTCCATGAGAAGGGGTAGAGAGACAACATATCAAGTAATTACTTTTAAACACAGCCGATCATGCAAGAAGGACAACAAGCATGCAACTAGTGCTTCTGAGATTTTGAGTGTGTAGTGACAGTATGTCAATAACTATGTGTGTGTGTACCTGGTTGGCAGGTGTTGAAGTCCAGTCCAGACTCTGCTGGCTGAAGCAGTCTCTCTATGAGGCCGCGAGAGAGCAGGGAGGGGGAGAAGATGACAGGCCGTTTGGTCTTGACCTGTATTGGCTGGACCATACTGTAAGGAATCAGGTGCTCCTCGTGACCTGAGCAAAGACACACATACACATTTAGGTTCATGCATTTTTATCTTACTATTGTCTTCAAAGGACAAAAAAAGATCAATAAAGTCATATGGGAGGAGCTTACGATTGCTGAGTGTGTAAAGGACCTGTGGGGTGGAACCAATCCCACGACAGCTGGGGGACACAGCCTTGACCAATCGCACACGCTCAGAGCCCTTCTTGGATACCTACAGTGAGGAATCAGTAGTCTGGTTACCCTTGGTTACCAGAGATTCACACACAGTAGGGACAAGAGGAGACTTACTTTCTTCTTGAAATCCTTCTGCCCCAGGGCTATGGTACGTAACCTCACCAATAACAGCTGCTGGGCTCTGAGATAGAGAGAGAAAGATTTAGGGGGATACACATTCATCACCACGTGTCCCATGTACTCTGTGAGTGCAGTCTAACAAAGCAAAACATTTGCACAAATGTCATAGATTAATGGAACGTTTAATCTTCTTCTCATGCATATTAAAATATATTACATTACATAACCCGTTCATTTGAACTCTGTCACAAAGGTATTATTACAGTGCATGGTACCTCTCCCTTACCTGTTGTAGTTGGGCATGACCCCCGCCTGCAGGGGCTTGGCTGTGTGGGGGTTCACCAGGGTGCAGCGCCACTGGTACTTCCCGTTGTAACGGGTGTCAGTGACGTGTATTATGTCATCACAGCGCACCCCCAGACAGGGCAGGTCGCTATGAGGGTCCAGGTCCAGGTTGACGCGCACATAGAAAGAGTCAGCGCCATAGAAGGTAGGAGAAGAGAGCAGGGAACATAACTTGGAGTAGGCTGAGAAGAGGAAAAGGGGTGGGAAGTTAGTTACACACACTCTATTCTTTCATATTTTTTTGTTTTATAAACAGTCTGACACCTGGATAAAGGCCAAGGCCATGCACTATAAAGGTGTACTGTACTGAAAAAGCACATCAGTCAAGGAAAACCACTGTAAAAGCTGTCTCAGAACTTCACCCTCTGTGTTGTTCTGATGTTTGAGAGAGGAGGGCTCTGTCCACCACTGCAGAGAGAAGTGGGCCACCTCTCCTGTGCACTGGCCCAGCAGCACACTGCCCCCACCAAACATAACCTTCTCCAGCTGGGCAGGGAGAAAGAGACAGTTATACTCAGGCTTGTGTGGCTGTTTTTCTACAATCTGTTTGCCTGTCCATCTGTCTGTATGCCTCTGTTTCTCACCTCCAGTAACTCACTGCCCTCCTTCAGACCACACTGCTCAGCAGGAGAACCAGCTCTGATGCTGCTAACAAAGATGCCTGTGCAGTTGCCCCCAATGATGGTGATGTCATCTGCCAGGCTGCCTCTTCCTCTTTTGGGCGTAGTGGGGGGACTAGGTAAGGGGGACAGGAGCTCTAAACTGAAAGAGGAAGTGGAAAGAGAGATGGTAATTACACTTCTTAGTATACAGTTTAGATTATATCTCACACCATAAAGGGTTAGCAAGTGTACCTACACTACGTTGGATTAGCTGCCCTGATGTAGGCAGCAAAGAGATGGAGACATACCCGAGACTGTTGTAGTTGGGTTTGTGGGGTGGGACAGGGGGCAGGTTGACGAGGTCAGGGGGGATGAGGTGAGAATGCAGGGAGCTACAGGAGTTTGACAGGGAGACCTCACTTTGGACTCCTGAAACACAATATAATGAGACATCACTACACATATCTATACTTAGCAGGGGTTACAGGTATTACAGGTAGCTATAGACTTAGACAAACAGGAGGGGATGTACTGAACTGAACCAAACCTGTGAGGTTCTCATTTTCATCACTGCCCCAGGAGTCCAGGTCAAACCTGTAAACGGATAAGATCACAAGAGAGGAGTTTTCATCATCATTTATTTAGTTTTAAATGCATTTACAGCATAACGTGTGATTTAAGAGTGATATTTCTATATTAGAGAATAATGTAAAAGTTGACTTGCAATGGTATGACCATAGATATCCTATTCAATTACTACAGTGCCTTGCAAAAGTATTCATCCCCCTTGGCGTTTTTCCTATTTTGTTGCATTACAACCTGTAATTTAAATGGATTTTTATTTGGCTTTCATGTAATGGACATACACAAAAATAGTCCAAATTGGTGAAGTGAAATGAAAACAATAACTTGTTTCAAAAAATTCTAAAAAAATAAATAACGGAAAAGTGGTGCGTGCATATGTATTCACCCCCTTTGCTATGAAGCCCCTAAATAAGATCTGGTGCAACCAATTACCTTCAGAAGTCACATAATTATAGTAATAATAGTTAGATTGCACTCAGGTGGACTTTATTTAAGTGTCACATGATCTGTCACATGATCTCAGTATATACAGTGGGGAAAAAAAGTATTTAGTCAGCCACCAATTGTGCAAGTTATCCCACTTAAAAAGATGAGAGAGGCCTGTAATTTTCATCATAGGTACACGTCAACTATGACAGACAAAATGAGAATTTTTTTTCCAGAAAATCACATTGTAGGATTTTTAATGAATTGATTTGCAAATTATGGTGGAAAATAAGTATTTGGTCAATAACAAAAGTTTCTCAATACTTTGTTATATTCCCTTTGTTGGCAATGATACAGGTCAAACGTTTTCTGTAAGAGTTCACAAGGTTTTCACACACTGTTGCTGGTATTTTGGCCCATTCCTCCATGCAGATCTCCTCTAGAGCAGTGATGTTTTGGGGCTGTCGCTGGGCAACACAGACTTTCAACTCCCTCCAAAGATTTTCTATGGGGTTGAGATCTGGAGACTGGCTAGGCCACTCCAGGACCTTGAAATGCTTCTTACGAATCCACTCCTTCGTTGCCCGGGCGGTGTGTTTGGGATCATTGTCATGCTGAAAGACCCAGCCACGTTTCATCTTCAATGTCCTTGCTGATGGAAGGAGGTTTTCACTCAAAATCTCACGATACATGGCCCCATTCATTCTTTCCTTTACATGGATCAGTCGTCCTGGTCCCTTTGCAGAAAAACAGCCCCAAAGCATGATGTTTCGACCCCCATGCTTCACAGTAGGTATGGTGTTATTTGGATGCAACTCAGCATTCTTTGTCCTCCAAACACGACGAGTTGAGTTTTTACCAAAAAGTTCTATTTTGGTTTCATCTGACCATATGACATTCTCCCAATCCTCTTCTGGATCATCCAAATGCACTCTAGCAAACTTCAGACGGGCCTGGACATGTACTGGCTTAAGCAGGGGGACACGTCTGGCACTGCAGGATTTGAGTTCCTGGCGGCGTAGTGTGTTACTGATGGTAGGCTTTGTTACTTTGGTCCCAGCTCTCTGCAGGTCATTCACTAGGTCCCCCCGTGTGGTTCTGGGATTTTTGCTCACCGTTCTTGTGATCATTTTGACCCCACGGGGTGAGATCTTGCTTGGAGCCCCAGATCGAGGGAGATTATCAGTGGTCTTGTATGTCTTCCATTTCCTAATAATTGCTCCCACAGTTGATTTCTTCAAACCAAGCTGCTTACCTATTGCAGATTCAGTCTTCCCAGTCTGGTGCAGGTCTACAATTTTGTTTCTGGTGTCCTTTGACAGCTCTTTGGTCTTGGCCATAGTGGAGTTTGGAGTGTGACTGTTTGAGGTTGTGGACAGGTGTTTTTTATACTGATAACAAGTTCAAACAGGTGCCATTAATACAGGTAACGAGTGGAGGACAGAGGAGCCTCTTAAAGAAGAAGTTACAGGTCTGTGAGAGCCAGAAATCTTGCTTGTTTGTAGGTGACCAAATACTTATTTTCCACCATAATTTGCAAATAAATTCATTAAAAATCCTACAATGTGATTTTCTGGATTTTTTTTTCTCATTTTGTCTGTCATAGTTGACGTGTACCTATGATGAAAATTACAGGCCTCTCTCATCTTTTTAAGTGGGAGAACTTGCACAATTGGTGGCTGACTAAATACTTTTTTCCCCCACTGTATAAACCTGTTCTGAAAGGCCCCAGAGTCTGCAACACCACTAAGCAAGGGGCACCTCCAAGCAAGCGGCACCATGAAGACCAAGGAGCTCTCCAAACAGGTCAGGGACAAAGTTGTGGAGAAGTACAGATCAGGGTTGGGTTATAAAAAAATATCTGAAACTTTGAACATCCCACGAAGCACCATTAAATCCATTATTAAAAAATGGAAAGAATATGGCACCACAACAAACCTGCCAAGAGAGGGCCGCCCACCAAAACTCACGGACCAGGCAAGGAGGGCATTAATCAGAGAGGCACCAAAGAGACCAAAGATAACCCTAAAGGAGCTGCAAAGCGCCACAGCGGAGATTGGAGTATCTGTCCATTGGACCACTTTAAGCCGTACACTCCACAGAGCTGGGCTTTACGGAAGAGTGGCCAGAAAAAAGCCATTGCTTAAAGAAAACAATATGCAAACACGTTTGGTGTTCACCAAAAGCCATGTGGGAGACTCCCCAAACATACGGAAGAAGGTACTCTGGTCAGATTAAACTAAAATTTAGCTTTTTGGCCATCAAGGAAAACGCTATGTCTGGTGCAAACCCAACACCTCTAATCACCCCGAGAACACCATCCCCACAGTGAAGCATGGAGGTGGCAGCATTATGCTGTGGGGATGTTTTTCATTGGCAGGGACTGGGAAACTGGTCAGAATTGAAGGAATGATGGATGGCGCTAAATACAAGGAAATTCTTGAGGGAAACCTGTTTCAGTCTTCCAGAGATTTGAGACCGGGACGGAGGTTCACCTTCCAGCAGGACAATGACCCTAAGCATACTGCTAAAGCAACACTTGAGTGGTTTAAGGGGAAACATTTAAATGTCTTGGAATGGCCTAGTCAAAGCCCAGACCTCAATCCAATTGAGAATCTGTGGTATGACTTAAAGATTGCTGTACACCAGCGGAACCCATCCAACTTGAAGGAGCTGGAGCAGTTTTGCCTTGAAGAATGGGCAGAAATCCCAGTGGCTAGATGTGCCAAACTTATAGAGACATACCCCAAGAGACTTGCAGCTGTAATTGCTGCAAAAGGTGGCTCTACAAAGTATTGACTTTGGGGGGGTGAATAGTTATGCACGCTCAAGTTCTTTTTTGTTGTCTTATTTCTTGTTTGTATCACCCCAAAAATTATTTTGCATCTTCAAAGAGGTAGGCATGTTGTGTAAATCAAATGATACAAACCCCCCCCCCCCCCCCCCCCCCCCCCCCCCAAATCCATTTTAATTCCAGGTTGTAAGGCAACGAAATAGGAAAAATGCCAAGGGGGGTGAATACTTTCGCAAGCCACTGTAATAATTTTAATTCCTTATTCTATGGGTATGACATACTCTATGTTGACCCTGCGGTTGATGGAGTTCATACAGGGAGGGAAGGGGAATATGGAGAGCCTGTTAACATCCTTCTCACTGTCCACTGTCTGTAAAACACACAGGACACAAACAAAGAGTGAAATAGAGAATGACTAAAGTGTCGATGCAGGCCCATAATTTAAACCTATTCATTGCCTCCTTGACAAGTTGAAAAAGTTGATTGATTATTCAACAATCGACATATACTGTGTATATTAACAGCTACACTGTTCAGTGAGAAAAACACATTTGTTCATATAATATAGATGAACGCTAGATGAGACATGATGCTTTGATATGTCGGCATGTCACAAGGTGTTGTGGAGTAATGTAACAACTCACTGGTGTCAAGAGATTCTCTTCTGAGTTTGAGCAGGAACCTGCAGACAAAATTTGGTATTTAGAAGTCTAAGCCTATCCTCTCTCATCAAAGTTGTCAAAAAAAGACATTTGTTTTGGCCATGCCTATTTCTACTATGTCTTATTCAAACAGTAGTTCAAATACAAGGTTTATCCTTAATCAGTTACAGTGCTGTAAACGTAGAATAAATTAAGCAAACATGAAAACTGAATTTATCCAAAAAGAGGGATTAACTCAGGAATGCTCTTTTCTACAATGCTATCCTTACAAACCCCAACCCCCTAATCCAGTGGTTCCCAACCTTTTTTGGTTACTGTACCACCAAGTACATTTTGCTCTGCCCAGAGTACCCTTGAAGTACCCCCTCGTGTGCATTTTACCAGTAAGCCTATGGTCTCATCAGTCTTCTCAAGTACCCCCTGTGGATAGGCCAAGTACCCCTGGTTGGGAAACACTGCATTCATCTCAATTGAAATATAGGCTTACCTTTGGAGTGGTCATGGGTTTGGCCTGTAGAGGGAGACTGTGACACAGAAATGAAAACAGACATCTGTTCACTGAAAGATATCCTACAGGTACCAGCATGCTGACAGTTACACAAATTCATCTCTGGCAACATCATATCTCTAACTCTATGCAAAACAACAATGAGACCTAATTAGCACACAGGAGTTGCTTCACCCTGGTCTAAAAATAATATTCCCCACATAGTTCTCCATAAGTAGACCATGAATAATCATAACAAGTACAATTATTGTTACGGGATCAGCTCAATGGTATCTACTTAATTACAACTCTGTGAATGAGTAAAATGAAAAGACGGGTTGGACAGCAACACTGCAACAGCCCTCAATGACTATTTATTATATGATAATGAAGAGATAAATGTTGAGGCTGCTGTTGATGGTAACAGTATAATGTTGCTAATATTCTAGCTGCTGGCCAATGAAGATGATAAGATGGAGATGAACTCTGACCTTGCAGAGCAGCTGGTGAGTGCAGTTGGGCAGAGGGCTGAGGTCTAGGGAGCAGCAGGGCCCGTAGCACTGGTCCTCGCTGCACAGAGACAGGTGAGACTAGGAGAGGGACAGAGAGACAATTGGAAGAGTATAGAAGAAGGCTAACAGGTCCACACTGTAATTTGATTATCCGTTTTTGTGAGTGTGTGAAACTGTATGTCTGACAGAATAGGGAAAACACACTTGTGTTGCACAAGTATAATCAAAAGTGTGTACACAGTACAGTTGAAGTCGGAAGTTTACATACACCTTAGCCAAATACATTTAAACTCAGTTTTTCACAATTCCTGACATTTAATCCTAGTAGAAATTCCCTGTCTTAGGTCAGTTGGGATCACCACTTTATTTTAAGAATGTGAAATGTCAAAATAATAGTAGAGAGTGATTTATTTCAGCTTTTATTTATTTCATCAAATTCCCAGTGGGTCAGAAGTTTACATACACTCAATTAGTATTTGGTAGCATTGCCTTTAAATTGTTTAACTTGGGTCAAACGTTTCGGGTAGCCTTCCACAAGCTTCCCACAATAAGTTGGGTGAATTTTGGCCCATTCCTCCTGACAGAGCTGGTGTAACTGAATCAGGTTTGTAGGCCTCTTTGCTCGCACACGCTTTTTCAGATCTGCCCACACATTTTCTAAAGGATTGAGGTCAGGGCTTTGTGATGGCCTCTCCAATACCTTGACTTTGTTGTCCTTAAGCCATTTTGCCACAACTTTGGAAGTATGCTTGGGGTCATTGTCCATTTGGAAGACCCATTTGCGACCAAGCTTTAACTTCCTGACTGATGTCTTGAGATGTTGCTTCAATATATCCACATAATTTTCCTTCCTGATGATGCCATCTATTTTGTGAAGTGCACCAGTCCCTCCTGCAGCAAAGCACCCGCACAGCATGATGCTGCCACCCCCGTACTTCACGGTTGGGATGGTGTTCTTCAGCTTGCAAGCCATCCCCTTTTTCCTCCAAACATAACGATGGTCATTATGGCCCAACAGTTATATTTTTGTTTCATCAGACCAGAGGACATTTCTCCAAAAAGTACAATCTTTGTCCCCATGTGCAGTTGCAAACCGTAGTCTGGCTTTTTTATGGCGGTTTTGGAGCAGTGGCTTCTTCCTTGCTGAGCGGCCTTTCAGGTTATGTCGATATAGGACTCGTTTTACTGTGGATATAGATACTTTTGTACCTGTTTCCTCCAGCATCTTCACAAGGTCCTTTGCTGTTGTTCTGGGATTGATTTGCACTTTTCGCACCAAAGTACGTTCATCTCTAGGAGACAGAATGTGTCTCCTTCCTGAGCGGTATGACGGCTGCGTGGTCCCATGGTGTTTATACTTGCATACTGTTTATACTTGCATACTATTGTTTGTACAGATGAACGTGGTACCTTCAGGCGTTTGGAAATTGCTCCCAAGGATGAACCAGACTTGTGGAGGTCTACCATTTCTTTTCTGAGAGCTGATTTCTTTTGATTTTCCCATGATGTCAAGCAAAGAGGCACTGAGTTTGAAGGTAGGCCTTGAAATACATCCACAGGTACACCTCCAATTGACTCAAATGATGTCAATTAGCCTATCAGAAGCTTCTAAAGCCATGACATCATTTTCTGGAATTTTCCAAGCTGTTTGAAGGCACAGTCAACTGACCTACTGGAATTGTGATACAGTGAATTATAAGTTAAATAATCTGTCTGTAAACAATTGTTGGAAAAATTACTTGTGTCATGCACAAAGTAGATGTCCTAACCGACTTGCCAAAACTATAGTTTGTTAACAAGAAATTTGTGGAGTGGTTGAAAAACGAGTTTTAATGACTCCAACCTAAGTGTATGTAAACTTCCGACTTCAACTGTATGTGTGTGCATAGCTGAGACTCACACAGTGCATACAGGGGGAACTCTGCTCCCTGCTCCTGTCCTTCTCTTTCTCCAGCTCTCTCTGCTGCTGCTCTAGATTGGCCTGAAGCTCTGCGATGCGTTTACGCAGGCGGTTCTTGTCCAATAGGCAGTCAGTATATTCCAACTGCAGGCTGTCTCGACTGCGCAGAGCCTGAAGGATAACAGTATCAGAGGGAGGAGGAGAGAACGTGCCAGAGAGGTGAGTTATGAGGAGACAGACACTGAGTGGAGGAGATACTGAGTAGTTGAAACACCTGCATGACTAGATAAAAAATGATGTATTACGGTGAGTAATGGCATGGGGCAAACATGCAAAGAAAGGCCTTATATTATCCAGCAAAAAGGCCTCAAACTCAACACTCCGACCTCAACATTCCTCTGTGCATGTGCATTCAGTGTCCAAACAGCCATGAACTATTTAAACCACTTTAACCATTACTGTAACCAACAGAAACAAACACATTACCATACATTGATTCTAACCCATATCCCTACTCAGACCTACTGACCTGGTCCCTCTCCTTTTCCAGCTCCATAATCTGGTTGAAGTAGGAAATGCTCCTTTTCTGTTCCGTCTCCCAATCCAGCTGGAGAGTCCTCACCTTCAGCTGCAGCTGCTCACACTGAGACTCCAGCTACACAACACAACACAACACACCATCAAAGACAGAATAATACAATTGTGTTGATATACAAGAAGCATGTTTTAACACTGTATGAAACCTTAACAAAGACAACTTGAAAAACTGTCACCAGCTCAGTGACTCCTGAGAGTGAATCACACATGGAGATGGGCCAGAATGGCGTGAATAGGCTTGTTTGCTGCTCTCACCTTGTCCCTGAAATCCTCTGAGCTCTCCAGCTCTCCCTGTAGTCTGGCGATGTCGCCACACAGCTCGTGTCTCTGCTCTGTTGCCTCCCTGCGGTCCTGCTTCAGGATGTCCAACAGAGCCTGAGGTCAAAACGGAACAACACAAGAGTTAGAGCAGCACAGTCAGAGCGGGAAAACATCACAAACTCAGATGGTGAATTAGATTCACTCTGACTGGCGGCTCTCACCTGTGTTTCAATGTGACCTGCCTTCTGAATGTCAATGTGCTGTAGTGGCTTCTCCCTCTTCTCGGGAACAGCGGGGGCGCCGTTCGTGCAGTGGAGGACACTACTGTTCCTTCTGAATGGCGTCGTAGAGGCAGGGCTACTGTCAGTCTCTTTCTCTGCCTCCATCAGTCTGGTCTTCAGCTGCTCCACCTGTAGAAAATGTTGAGTAGGAATATTACAAGGGAATCCTACCAGGGAAAAGGCTTCCTATAAAGGCATGTCCCAACAGCTCTTAATAAAAAGCTGATACCCTCCATCCATCCTTTTATCTTTCGCCAGCTGCTTTCTTCTGTCCCAGTCACCCTTCCTCTCCTTCAACAACCCAACAGACCCGCTTGGCCCCCTCTCCTCTCTATACCTGTTCCAGTAGCTCTCTCTCGCGTGCGGAGGCCTTGGCCTGATCCTCCAGGGCACAAGAGTATTTCATAGCCTGTTCCAGGTGCCTGTCGTTCAGCCGGCCCAGCTCCCTGCTGCCTGCCTCCCAGTCCTGACGCAGCCTGTATGTGAGACACACATTCAGCGAGCTCTCAGTACACTGGACATAGAAACTGTACATCCATATTAAAAAATGTATGACAGCCATGGACCACGGCTCATCATTAATGTAGTTTATGTATATCATTCTAGATGTTTCAAGTTCTGAATACCGTCATTCACTTTAGGTAACAGTTGCTATTCTGCTTCGCTCAACAATAAAATGTGTGAAGAGAAAAAAAAACTGCACATTGTTTGGCACTGTAGATAACAACCAGATGTTTGTGTGGTTTTACCTGTGAAGTTCAATGAATCAAACTCTGTTTGTTTAGTGCTTCTCATCGTGTCATTTGTCTCACAGTGCTTTAAGCCCTGTATGTGTGGTCCCGTGTGGTGTACCTCTCCATCTGCAGCCGGTCGTGTCGTAGGTCCAATGTCTTGCGTTCAGCCCGGCTGCGCTCCTCCTCGGCCACACGGCAACGCTGGGACAGGCGGCGCTCACACACACGGCTCCCCCGCAGCTGCTCCCTCAGCTTACGCACCTCCAGCAGCAGGAACTGAGTCAGGCCCTCTGGACCTTCCTCATCTGGGGGGAACACAGCAGTGGAGGTAAATGGGGGATGGGGGAACACTGGTCAAAGAAGGGGGACATATGGGGACATATCCTTACCCAGGATGATGGAGCAGCGCTGGGTGGGCTGTTTTCCAGTGAGCTGGGTGTATTGCTCTGGGTGGTAGAACTCCAAAGACTCCATGAAGGCCTGCAGGCCACGCTGGCCCCGCCCATGCAGGATGTCAATCAAACGGCCTGATAAACAGTTATAACATCATTAAAGTTTATAAGAGGAAGACGACAATACATCCTGAAGATGGAGATACTGTAAGTACTGTACTGACACAAGTGTGAAAGCTGCTCATGTTCCAGGTACTCCCTTTGTCGTCTTTTCCTCTCTAACCTCATCTTTCTGTTTCTCTCTCTCCCCATCTTTTTTCCCTCCCCATCTGTCTACCTCCTCCTTTATCTCTCCCTCTCCTTTACTTAGCTAGTGGCCACCCCCTCATTCCTTTCATCTTGATCTCCTGCCTCGTTACTCATACCCGTCTCCCCTCCCTCTGTCTCTCACTCCCCTCTCGCTATCCTTCCTAACCATCTTTTTCTCACACGGCACAAACCCCTACTTACCTCATTCTCTCCGACCTACCCCCTCTCTCCCTGCCTCCTTTCACTTACCTTTTACACTCTTCTCATTCCCTTCCATCATTTTCTCTCATTCTCCCTCTCTTTTTCACTCCCACCCATTCCCTCTCCTTCCTCTCTCTCACCAGCCTTGCTGATACGTAGTGGGTACTGGGTGGAGTTGAGGACCTCATCCTCATCCTGCTCGTCGATGACCTTGCACTGCCTCAGGTAGGGGGTGAGCTTGGCCGGGTTCAGGATGCGGGTCAGCTTTTGCCTCACCCCCTCCACCCGGTCCCACAGTTCCTCACAGCACTCCTCAGAGAACGGGGACACCGGCCGCCCCTCTTCCTGTCCCGTGTCATAATCCTTCACCCATACTGTGATGCCTGGTCCAGAGGAAGCAAGTTAATACAGGACTGGTTTGAAAGAGGAGCCAAAATTACTCTGTGTTATAAAGAGAACAGGCTCAAACTATGTTGATAATACAGTTTATGGCCATTGTCTGCTGCATTGTGAGAAGGAGCAGAAGGAGGTGCTTTTCTGGCTGTGCTCCAAGGAAAACTGGAGGGGATTATTTGGCATTTAACATATACCAGGCAGTAGGATTAACCTCCAGTACTATGAACACATTTGATGGTGCATTATCTGCACCAATGATTTACTCAAGTTTCTCCTGGTGGTGCACAATGTTGGTTGGTAGGTCATAAACAATGATAGGGAGGACATTCAATCTGTCTCAGAGCTCAAGAATGCAAACACTGTTGTGATTCATATCTTACACTTAAAAACCTACTGTGATAGCAGAAAAATACCTCCTCAACTACTGAGGAGCAGTTGTACCAACTCCCTGGACTAAGAAAAAACATGTTCAATTGAGACTCTCCACAAGAAGATGGAGGGAGAGAAAAAAGCTCTCAAAAAGTCAAACAAACAAGTTTAGTAGTACATGTCATTCCGTTTACTGTAATTCCGTTCCCGGGTGTAATTCCACTTCACTTACTGTAGTTCAATAACCAAAATAGATTTTTTCCAACTCAAGGTGACATGTCATAGCTGACACCCCATTCTTTCTGCAGAACTCTTTGGATCTTAATTCGGAGCAGATATTTAATATAATTTTTGTTAAACCTGGTCTCATAAAAACCTGATGAAGATTTTACCATAATTCCATTACCAAAGTTTGCATCTGCACAGTTCTTCCACTAAATTAGTTTTTGTAAAATGTTCAGTGGAAATTGTTAAAAGTAGTCCTTGTGCATAGAGTTGTATGGTTTGTTAAACTTTGAAGTCAATGGTTTTCGTTTGAGATACATTTTAAAGTGAAAAAACTGAGTCAAAGCATAATTCAGTTACCATGGAATTGCCCATATGCTGCTAAAGCAACATAGTGTATATTTTTAAGTTAACTATTTACCGACAATGGGGGGATATGTGCTCCATAACCCTGACCCCATCGCGCACCTGTATTATATAGGCAAACAAACAGACAAGTCGAGACACATCTGTGGAATCTTTTCCTGTCATCTCTCTCTTTTGCCCATGCAGGCTACTATATCATGTAGTCAAGAACAACTTTTTTCCAGAGCAGTGTCAACATAACAAAATAAAAAAGCACCCCTTAGACTACTTGGCTATATGAATATTTGCTAAATTATTTGACCGGAGTTTACAATACCAAAAATAAGTGTGACTGACAAGACAATAAGGAGGGAGAAATGTCATTCAGTGCCACACCGTTTCAACCCCGATTGAGTCGTCTAACTTTATCTGAAAAAGTCAGACAAGAAATTCTGTAACATCATCTGTAAAAAAACAAAAAACATGACAAAATGAAATCTTAATTTCACACTTACCACTCATTGTCAAGGATTGATCGTGTTGTAAGCAATCTCCTCAGACAGATATTCCACTTTTCGTTTCGATCAATCATAAAAGGATGAATGAGTCTTTAAAGTCAAGAATGAGATAGAAACGTAAACTACTATTCCACTCTGGCTATGCTATTGCGTTGAGAAGCTGGTTGTGTTGTACATGGGACGCAGTATCACACTCCTCCCCAACTTTGCGGTCCTGCCTCCTCACAATCGCCTGCACATGCCATATTCCACCAATCAGCAATTTTTCACAACTGGCCCGATCATTCCAGATGACCAAACCAGGATACATTTCCAACAACTGGATGTATCCTTTTTTCAGGGATACAGCTAATTCAACATAGGCTGTGGTACTTCTCTCATGCGTTTTCTTTTAAGCCTGCTACTTTAGGTTAAAGCCAGGTTAACCCAAATACTGTATCTCTGGTTAATGCAAGGGCGAAATTGTGGAGTAGATATTGGGGGGGACGAACAGTAAACGGGGGTCCTGGGGGTGCTCCCCCGGAACATTTCTGTTTGAAAATTGAGAAAGCGGAGGAGCTAGGACCGTTTTTCATGGCCAAAGTCGACCGTTAAAGCTAATTTCCTGCAATAAAGTGGTCTTGGTCTTTGGAAATAGATATTTGTGTGCACACAGTGTATGGTTAACCTTAAACAAATGTTGTTAAAAAGGAAAGCCTACCATAGTTAAAATGTAACCAGCCATCAGTTGCCTAGAAGACAACTTCCATTTCAACAGGCCATACAGATCTAAGATCTTGAAGGTCAGTAATTTTCGCTGTTGAACTTTTAGATTTCACTCCCTTCAACGCAATTGGGTATTAAAGCTGAAGAGGGGATTGAGAAGGGCTTTTCCACAAGGTGGAGCAATCCACCCACTGCTTTACAAAGTTGCTCAGTTTAATTTCTCTTTCTTTCTTTCGTCAATATCTTTGGAAGTTCCTTTGCTCACACCAATAACACCAGTTGTTTTTATTACATCTTTGATTAATTCAGTTTTGTCCTATGTTATGTTTTGTTAGATAGCTATACCCTGAGGCTCTTGCCCAGCATGTGACTCCTCTGGCCTGGTCCACTGAGCACTGACTCATTCATTGTCTCTCCTTTACTACAAGGTCTTGAATCATGATGAAAACCTATTACCTAAAACTGCTGTAGCAGTATAAAGGTTAGTCATCAAAAGTCTACAATAGAGGGAACACACCTTACATACACAATGACACATCATTTAATTTCAATATTATCTAATTGCTTTTGAAAGGCTGCTGCTACCTTAGCAATGAGGTTCAGATAAGCACAGTCAACGCGTACAGTTAAGATAGATACTGTGTTATTACAACAGAAGTCAGCAGTGTCATTGCAGAGGCATACAGGCTGGTGCGTCTGGCCTGAGCACAGTAGGGGGGTTTAAACTGGCAGTGTGTTAACTCCCTGTACTCTATATTTGTGGTGCACTTTGTTTTGTTGTCTGTGTGAACACTAATCAAAAAAAGAAATACAATTCTAATAAAAATATAATTACAAAAAAGGCACAATAAAAATATTTAATAGTAATAAATTAACTGGGAATGTGTCTCTCAGTTATGGTACAAAGTGAGACAGGAAATATGGGGTGCCCGACAGACGAATGTGTCTTTCAATTGACACACTGACAGGAAATGTCAAGCTACCCTCAGTCCCTGGACATCCCCTGAACAAACAAGCAGACCAGGGTCTCAGAGCTGCTGGACTGAAGAAGGGCCTACAGCACAGAAGCCAAAGCAATGAGGCCTACAAACAAAAAATACATAAATTCAATTCAAGATATTCATAGGTGCCTTAATGTTCAGAAATAGATGTTCGAAACAACTTTAGCACATCCTCTCCCCCTCCCCTATTTCTCTTTCACTCTCATATTTTCTATTTTTCTCAAAGCCCTCCCCTGCTTCTCACATTCAGAAGCACTGTGGCCACAGGCCTCGCCCAGAGGGGACCAGAGTTCTTGTCGTTTCTGAGGTGACAGAAACAGAGAGGGCATTGAGAGAGCCCCAGAGCCCAGTGCTGCAGTGGTGGAATGTGTTGTCCCAGTCCAGCATAACCACACTAGCCTTCACCCAGTAGACCCATGGCCCCATCTCTGACTCGGGCCTCACTGTCGGCTCTGGTGCAGCAGAATCAACCCTTTGTCCCCACAAAGAATGTGTATTTTCTCACTTTCTTGTGGAAAACAGCGAACAAAAGAGGATGGGTGGTATGAGTAAATTCAAATATTGCTCTGCAATTTATTCTCCTCTAATTGTCCCCATACAGTGGCTTGCAAAAGTATTCACCCCCCTTGGTATTTTTCCTATTTTGTTGCCTCACAACCTGGAATTTAAATGGCTTTTTGGGTTTTTTGTATCATTTGATTTACACAACATGCCTACCACTTTGAAGATGCAAAATATTTTTTTATTATGAAACAAACAAGAAATAAGACAAAAAAACAGAAAACTTGAGCGTGCGTAACTATTCACCCCCTCAAAGTCAATACTTTGTAGAGCTACCTGCAAGTCTCTTGGGGTATGCCTGCAAGTCTCTTGGGGTATGTCTCTATAAGTTTGGCACATCTAGCCACTGGGATTTTTGCCCATTCTTCAAGGCAAAACTGCTCCAGCTCCTTCAAGTTGGATGGGTTCCGCTGGTGTACAGCAATCTTTAAGTCATACCACAGATTCTCAATTGGATTGAGGTCTGGGCTTTGACTAGGCCATTCCAAGACATTTAAATGTTTCCCCTTAAACCACTCGAGTGTTGCTTTAGCAGTATGCTTAGGGTCATTGTCCTGCTGGAAGGTGAACCTCCGTCCCAGTCTCAAATCTCTGGAAGAGTGAAACAGGTTTCCCTCAAGAATTTCCCTGTATTTAGCGCCATCCATCATTCCTTAAATTCTGACCAGTTTCCTAGTCCCTGCCGATGAAAAACATCCCCACAGCATGATGCTGCCACCACCATGCTTCAATGTGGGGATGGTGTTCTCGGGGTGATGAGAAGTGTTGGGTTTGCACCAGACATAGCGTTTTCCTTGATGGCCAAAAAGCTCAATTTTAGTTTCATCTGACCAGAGTGCCTTCTTCCGTATGTTTGGGGAGTCTCCCACATGCCTTTTGGCGAACACCAAGCATGTTTGCTTATTTCTTTCTTTAAGCAATGGGTTTTTTCTGGCCATTCTTCTGTAAAGCCCAGCTCTGTGGAGTGTACGGCTTAAAGTGGTCCTATGGACAGATACTCCTATCTCCGCTGTGGAGCTTTACAGCTCCTTCAGGGATATCTTTGGTCTCTTTGTTGCCTCTCTGATTAACGCCCTCCTTGCCTGGTCCGTGAGTTTTGGTGGGCGGCCCTCTCTTGGCAGGTTTGTTGCGGTGCCATATTCATTCCATTTTTTCTATAATGGATTTAATGGTGCTCCGTGGGATGTTCAAAGTTTCAGATATTTCAGCTCTCTTTGGGCATTACACACTGCTTTCAAACGTTGGATGGGCTCTCTTTCAATGGATTCACCCTGAGTGATTGGTGATTCAAATAAGTCAGCTGGGTAGTGACATCTTTCAAAGCCATTAACTCTCAGATGGAGGCTGATGATGAGGGCAGGGCCCACTGTGACGGTTAGGTGTCTCAGCAGCTGCTCAGTCCAGATAACACAGCAGCTTCTAGCCTTCTGGCTGTCGCCAAGCTCAATCAGTCAGAACATTTACGATTTCCTGGAGACACAGTGACTGCTCCTCGAAAAACGCCAATGCACTTCACCAAGGCATGCATGCCTAACTGTGGAAGTGCTGAGAGTAAACAGGAAAGGAGAAGGCGTTCCTCAAGGTCCTGTGCTGGGCCCCCTGCATTTGTAGATGTCTATACAAAGTTGGAGTGAGAGAACACAGCACTGTGAAATAGCTTAGTGACTGTCACTGGCAGCTTCTTTGTTTTGCTTTGTCAACGGCTGCTCAGCCAGCAATTACAAAACACAGATATACTTCACACAAATGAGTTCAGTCCACTTTCTTGGCAAGAAGTTCAAAAAAATTAAAAACAGGGTTACAAACTTAGAAAATAGGTTTCCTCAAGGGTTATTTGGTAAGGGTTTTTCCCTTTAATGGTTATTTGCAGTTCAGAAAAGGGTTAGTTCATCTTTTAGTGATAATTAAAATGTAGAGGCGGCAGCTCATTGGAATATTTTGGGGCAGGGTTTTACCGTGAGTGAGGGTGTCATTCCGGTTGATCTAATCTGTTGTGTTATGTCTTTACATGTTAAATATGACTATGGCCAGTAATGGTGTCTCGTGAAAGACTCACGTATGGCCTTGTGTCAATTGAGAACTGTTGACTAAATCAGTGGTTCTCAATTCTCCCCTCAGGGACAGGCATGCCAGAGCTGGTACACCTGATTCAACTTGTCAATTACAGTTTTTTCCAACTGCTAACACACGTTTTCAAAACTATGTCGCCTTTTTTCAAAACTCTACACACAATTCCCAAAACTGCACACCCAAAATGCAAAATGCCTCACATCTCCTTCAAAATGTAACACTTCATTCAAAATGCCATAAACACATGTCAGAGTGAAGCATTTGCATCAAATGGCAAACACTACTTTCATAATAGTACATTTTTGGATATACCATGTAAACACTGTTGTTCTAAATCTAGAGCTCTTTGGTCTTTCATAGGCTTATATATACATTTCAATACAATGTTCTACAGTGAAAGTAATCTGCTGAGAGGGGTAACAAGTACACTGTAAACACCAATGCAATGTAGAAACAGAAAATATTTATTAGGCCAAACATTACTGTTGTATACAGTAGCATACAACAAAACCATAAACATATGTAAACCAAAAGTATATTCTTTAGAATACAGTAAAGAACACAATTGTGTGTGGGGGGTCCCGGGGGTGCAGTCCAGGAAATGGTAGGGGGGGGGGGGGGGGCAGTCACCAGTGCTAAGCTACGCTTCATCTCTTCTCCGGGCTGG